AAGCAAATTCATGGCTTAAAGAAATCCACATGTGATATGGATAGAAAATTTTCCTATGAGATAGAAATTTTGAAATCAAACTGAAATATTAGAAATGAATAATTCAATATATCAAATAAAAGTGGGAAACCTTAACAACAAGCGTGGTAAGGCAGAAGGAGGAATATCTAAGCTAGAAGACAAATTGTTAGAAATGACTCAGATGAAGAAGGAGGAGGAGGAGGTGAAATAATCAGAAAAACTGAAAACAGTGTTCAAGATTTATGGGATACTATCAAACTTATGTGTCTTAGGATTTCGTGAAGGTGTGGAAAGACAGAATGGGTTAGAAGACCTATTCGGTGACATAAGAGCACAAAACTCCTAACTGGTGAAAGATATGGGTAACCAAATACAGGAAGCATACAGAACTCCTAATAGACATGTTCAGAAAATGTCCTCATCATGACACATTATAGCCAAACTTTCGAAAGTAAAACATAAAGAAAAAGTCCTAAAATGTGCATGAGTGAAATGCCAGATTACCTTCAAAGGATCTCCAATTAGACTGACAGCTGATTTCTCAACAGAAACCCTATAAGGTAGGAAAGAAAGGAAAGACATAGTCCAAGTCCTAAAAGAAAACAAATGTCAATCCAGAAAATTGTACCCAGCAAACTCTCATTTATAAATGAAGGTGAAATACAGACCTTCCATAACAAATAGAAATTTAAAGAATTTGTCACCACTCAGTTTTATAAATCATGCTTAAATATGTGCTACACACAGAAACACAGATAGCATCATGAAAGACTATGAAGGCAGATAATCTTATACATACACACACACACACACACACATAAAGGAAATCCAAAACAAGCAATAGGAACATTTATGCGAAAATGGTAGGACAAAATCAATACTTATCAATAATAACCTTGAATATAAATGGCCTAAATTATCCATTTAAAAGCTATAGGCTTGTGGCCGGCGCTGTGGGTAAAGCCATCACCTGTAATGCCAGAATCCCATATGGGCACTGGTTCAAGTCCCAGCTGTTCCACTTCTGATCCAGCTCTCTGCTATGGCCTCAGAAAGCAGGAGAAGATAGCCCAAGTCCTACGGCCCTGGCACCAAAATGGGAGGCCTGGAAGAAGCTCCTGGCTCCTGGCTTTGGATTGGTGCAGCTCTAGCCATTGCAGCAAATTGGGGAGTGAACCAGCGGATGGAAGACCTCTCTCTCTCTCTCTCTCTCTCTTTATGCCTCTCTTCTCTCTGTGTGTAACTGACTTTCAAATAAATAAATAATACAGGCAGGCTGAATTGATTAAAAAACGAGACAGATCTATTTGCTGCCTGCAAGAAAACACACCTTACCAACAAAGATACACACATACTGAAAGTGAAAAAATGGGAAAAGACATTCCATTCTAACAGAAAGCAAATGAAAAGCAGAACCAGACATCCTAATACCAGACAAAATAGACTTAAACACAGAAAGTATTAAAGGAGACAAAGAAGGTCATCATGTAATGATTACAGGATCAGTTCAACAGGAGACATGACTATATGTATATGCACCCATTACAAGGGCACTTGGCTATTTAAAACAAATGTTAATTGATCTAAAGGGAGACATAGGCTGTAATACAATAATAATGGGGGACTTCAAAACACATTCTCATCAATGGACAGATCAGTTACACAAAAAATCAACAAAAACAACAGAGCTAATCTATACTATTAAGCAAATGGACCCAAATTATATCTGCAGATACAGGAAGGCCAGCCCCTTCAATGTCATCTTTGCCAGCATTGGAATGGCAGTGCCCAGTGTAGCCACCTGCTATGACTGTCACTCAAAGTTGTTGCCTAGAAGCAATTGGTTTTTTCAGCCCTCAACAAGTCCACGTTCAGGGATTCCCGGTCATCTTCAAGTGCAAGCTGCTTGGCCCTGGAGCTCGCAGTCATAGCCAGAGCTTCCAGACTGAACAGCTTTCTTCTTGGCTGTGGCAAGATCAGCAGCTCTGCCAGCAGACCAGGCTTTTCATGTGGCTTTGGAAGATATCCCTGAAAGACTAGTCTCTGGTCTGTTTCTTTATAACCATGACTGCTGGCCAGCGCTGCGGCTCACTAGGCTAATCCTCCACCTTGCGGCGCCAGCACACCGGGTTCTAGTCCCGGTCGGGGCTCCAGATTCTGTCCCGGTTGCCCCTCTTCCAGTCCAGCTCTCTGCTGTGGCCAGGGAGTGCAGTGGAGGATGGCCCAAGTCCTTGGGCCCTGCACCCCATGGGAGACCAGGAGAAGCACCTGGCTCCTGGCTTCGGATCAGCGCGGTGCGCCGGCCACAGCGGCCAATGGAGGGTGAACCAATGGCAAAGGAAGACCTTTCTCTCTGTCTCTCAATCTCTCACTGCCCACTCTGCCTATAAAAAAAATAACCATGACTGCTTAGAGTAACTACAGAGAATAACGTTCATGGCATGTAAAGCCTGACCTCTTTAGGGGGGTTTGGTTTTGTTAAATAAGATGTTATGTGAGAATCTCAACACACGGGCAAACACAGTGTGTCTCTGGATGCAGTACCGGGGAGTGGATGCAAGTGGTGAGGTACAGGGGAGGGGCCTGGGCCCAGCTCACAGAGAATTAAAAGGCACAATTATTTTGGGCCAAATAATCCATGCATTGTTTGACATAATATGCATTTTTCATGAATGTCAGATTAACATGTGCATCGAGTTGTAGCAACTGTGTGGAAAGTGCAAAGTACCTGGGGTATGGGTGTGTACCTGCAAAATACGCAAGGGGGAAACGGGGAGAGAAATTGGTTTTCAGAAGCCTCACATCAAATATAGGTACTGGCCTCAAAGCTCCCAGCCCGGACCATGATCATTATCAGTGTGGCTGGCGTGCCGGGGTGGCTACAAGAGGTCTACGTCCTGCGCACAGCATTCACACATGCCATTTCCTTTAGATTTGTGGCTTGGCCAATCTTTAAAGAGCCTCCCTCACTCAGGTTCCCATCTGCTCAGAAAAATGGCTTCCCCTGACTAGGGGCCCCCGCCTCAGGCCAGCACGTTAGGATGGTGACAGGTTTTTTTCTCGGAGCACTTAAAGCTATAAATCACAGCAGCCCACCTGTCCTTCCACTCAGGATGAACGCAGGCGGCACAGCTGGTACCTGCTGGGGCCACATACTCCTGCACGGATCCGCACAGACACCTCGGGGGCACGCTCCAGCCAGGTGTGCACTTTCATCCTGCACAGAACTTGAATGCGGTGTTTGTCTTTCTGGGTCCCCCTACTTTGCTTGGAGTGGCTTAGAAGGCACCCTAAAGATTCCTCTCACTCCTTTTCCTCCTCTGAGCCAGACCAAAGCAGCCTGTTTCCTCTCTGCAGGGCCTGCCCGATGCTTTCTCCATGTAAGTTGCCTTCCCAGAAAAATAAATAAATAAAAGCCCGCAATTTCCAAATACTTCCTGCCGTGTCTCTACCCAACGGGCAGATTCTAAAGAGGAGATGGTGGCCCCCGCTTAATAGCAGACCTCATTGAGACTTACCAGGTATCAGGTTTCTGGGAATGGAATATGTGGATCATCCTGTATCCTCTGCTTTGAGATTCTAACTCTGTAAGTTCACCTGGGACATAATAGATGTGAGGCATTTCCTCACACCTTGTAGATATTTGGTTGTTCTGATTCTCTGCAATGACCTCTATTGTTTAAGAGCATGTGAAATCATGGGAGAGAAGGATGTCCCTATATGTAGAAAGTTATTTATTGGGCCCTGGGTGAGCATGTTTGAACCTAAATTTTAAAATGTGCCTATTAGGGCCAGACATTTGATCTAACGGTTAAACTGCCTGTTAGCAGGCCCACATCCAACATCCGAGTGCCTGGGTTAAAATCCAATTCTGGGCTGGCACCGCAGCTCAATAGGCTAATCCTCCGCCTGCGGTGCCAGCACACAGGGTTCTAGTCCCAGTCAGGGCACCGGATTCTGTCCTGAATGCCCCTCTTCCAGGCCAGCTCTCTGCTATGGCCCAGGAGTGCAGTGGAGGATGGCCCAAGTGCTTGGGCTCTGCACCTGCATGGGAGACCAGGAGAAGCACCTGGCTCCTGGCTTCAGACCAGCGCGGTGCGCAGGCCGCAGCGCGCCAGCCGAGGTGGCCATTGGAGGGTGAACCAACTGCAAAGGAAGACCTTTCTCTCTGTCTCTCTCTCTCTCTCTCACTGTCCACTCTGCCTGTCAAAAAAAAAAAAGAAAGAAAAAAAATCCAACTCTGGTTTCTGATTCCAGCTTTGTGCTAAGGCAAACCCAGGAAGCAGTGGGAATGACTTAAATAATTGTGTTCCTGCCCCCTAAAAGGAAGACTTAGATTGTATTCCCAGCTTCCTGCTTTGGCCTGATCCAGCTCCAGCTGTTGCAGATATTGAAGGGAATTAATCAGTTCTCTCTCTCTCTCTCTCTCTCCCCCTCTTTCTACTTCTCTCTCTCTTTCTCTCTCTCTCTCTCTGCCTCTAGAATAAATTTTTTAAAATATACATGTACATTAATGAACTTGCATGTGCTGGCCTTCCATGTCCAAGAAGTCCCTGTATTTAATATTGAGTGACTTTGTGAGAAAAGAAAGGGAAGTGCTCCCCGCCTGGGTGGAAGGTAAGACAAGAAGGTAGTTACAAAGTCGTCTGACATTTAAAAAGATGCTGACATTCACTCTGAATGGCTCATATCTTAATAAAACAGATTGGGGTCTTTCTGATTTTTTATTGACATGATATTTATACATATTATGAGACACAATGATTCGTGTCTACTTTGAGCAGTTAAGTGAAGTAATTAGCATTCTATCATCTTAATCTTTAATCATTTCATTAACATGACTGCAGTCAAAATCCTCTCTGTGTTTGGAGGTATTTAATGCATTATTGTTAATTATATTCACCTTCTGTACCACAAAACACCCAGAACTTGGTGCTTCTAACTGAATCAACTGGTCAACCTCTTTCCTTATGCACTCCCCCCCCTACTCTCCCCACTTTTCTACTCCCAGCTTCTAAGAGATCAACTCATATCTATGAGTGAAATCATGAGATGGTTGTCTTTATATGCCTTACTTCTTTCACTTAACATAATGTCCTCCATGTTGTTGGAAATAACAGGATTTCAAAATTTCATGGCCATATAGAATTCCTTTGAGTATATACCCCACATTTTCTCTATCCATCCATTGATGAACATTTAGATTGAGTTCATAGCTCAGTTATTGTGAATAGTGCTGCAATAGACATGAGAGTGCAAATGTCTTTTCAACATGTTAATTTCATTTCCTTTGAGTATATACCCAGCAGTGGGATTTGCTTGGTTGTATGGTATTCTTTTTTGTAGTTTTTTGATGCACTCCCATACTGTTTCCATAATAACTGTACTAATTTACATTCCCATAGTATATAAGACTTCCTCTTTCTCTACATCCTTTCACAGCATTTATTTTTGTCTTCTTGATAACAACAATTCTGAGGTGAGATGGTAAGATGATATTTCACTGTGGTTTTTGATTTGCATTTTCCTGATGAGAAGGCTGCTGAGCAATTTTTTATGTACTTACTGGCTTTTGGTTCTTTTGAGAAATGTAGGAATCTGAACACAATTGAAACAGACATCAAAAGTCATTTGAAAAATAGAGGCAGGAGCCCAATGATTCATTAATATATCTCAGTGTATTTTACAACTGTTAAAGCACAAATATAATGTATATATGTAATCTATTGAATATGAAATCCATTTAAAAGCAAAATCTCTGTTTTAGAGACTGATTATAGCAATAGAATTTCTATGGATTATGTATTTTCATATACAATGCATAAATTAAGTTATTTTACCTTTTTTGCCATCCAATTAGCAATAAAAATTATAAGCACTACAAAAATAACTTTCTTACACAGAAAATATCATTCTCCTTTGTTTTTCAGCAATATCTACCACATCTATTTTGAAGTCATTGTTTTAAACTTTTCTGTGTACACATGTTCAAATCAGCCTCCCAAGCTAATGGTTTCACTTGTCCGACTCTTTCCTTTCTCTTTAAGGCTGAAATGCACCAGTCCTTGATTTCGTGGACAGCCATTATTTCTGAGACCATCAGAAAGGCTCATTGTGCTGTGCTCCTTTAGGGAGATGGATGTGCCAGGAAACTTAGAATTTTGTAGAAAATGAAATTAAAAGACAAGTTTATTTTGATGCAAAAAATTTTAAAACTGTGTGGAGTCTTGAATCATGCATATTTCCCATGAACTCTTTGAAGATCCCTCACGTAAATGGAAGTCAAACTATTTTATACCAAAATAACTTTATCTTAATTCCACTTAGCAATAGCAATACCAATCCTTCTGTAATGTTAAGCCTCTAGGAAGAATGGCTCTAAGTACTTTCCTCGCATTTATTTCTTCAGTTCCCCGGTGAGGTAGGTCTGTTATTTTACATATGGGGAGACTGAGGCACAGAGAGACTAGACACGATTCCAGAGATGACAGACATGAGCAAACACAGGATTAGAGCTATGGATTGGCTGCACAGCCCACACTCTCAACCACCACGCCTTGTTACCTCCATGCTCCAGGCAATTTCAATATGTAACTTTAAAAATTCAAGCAAATAGCTTTTGTTTTCCAGTTTAATAACTAATGTATTCTGACACCCATCCTGGAGAAAAGCATTTACATCAAGGCTGTAGTTTAGATCATTAAAAGTGAACGATCCAGAGAATTATCTGAACATGTGTGATTCTCATGAAAGATAAAAGGTGTTTGAGGTATGGTGGGGAGCTTCCAGGCCGGGGCTATGTAAGGCCCATTAAATTATTTGATCTGGCCCTGGCAAGGCACATGGAGGTGAACTCTAAACTCAATAAAACTATAGCAGGCTAATTTTTAAGCTAATAATTGTGTATGGCTGGTGAATGATGCTATAAATATCCAAATGGCCCTTGTCATAAATTGTCTGCCCACCCCTGGTAAATGGTCTAAATACGCACGCCCTCTGCGGTATCTTGCTAGGATTCCAAGAACGATTGTCTTGCAACTATGCAGCAGTGTACATCAATGCACTCAAAGCCCAGACCCTACTGGCATCACATTCCCGCCCCACCCTCCTGATTGACAGACAGCCCTGCAGGTGTACGGTTCTTTCCATCCACGCCCCCTGCAGATTCCACAGTGTTTGGGTTCTAGTTGAAGGATAAACGCAGCATTGCCCATTACTCTGTTTCCTACTGGTTCAAGGAAAATGCCTCTTCATGCACTTAACATCTTCTAACTCAAATTAACCATGAGCATCAACAAATCTTAAAGCTGTGTCCTTTTTTAAGGTATAAGTTCTTGTGCATCAAGCCTGGCCTCATACTTGCATTGTATACGAGAGCAGCTATAAGCAGCTGCATCCAACTGTGGAAGTGGAAGAAAGAGCACCTCCATGTTGTTTGAATTTCAGAGTCTTCAGGGAGCACATGCCCACAGTTCAACACATAGTCTTAATCCTGATAACCTAATCGCAATTTCTTCTTCCAAACCATGAGCAGGATTTTCACAGAGTTCAATATTTTGAACAATGGCCTTTGTGATCAATTGGATGACACATTCAATTCCTAAAACAGAGTTCTTTCTGACTTGCAGCTTTTCTGAAGGTCAAGGTGCTGAGAGAACAGGCGTGATTTCTGAGTCACCTGCAGCTGGCTTGACCGTTTTTGCAGGCATTAAGTAAAGAAGATTTTTCCAGAATCTTGAGTTATAAGAAAGAGACTTATCAGCCTTCCACTTCAGAAATCTGTGAGATTTCAAAAGCGTTAGTGACTGAGGCAAGAATGTCAAGTCACTAACAGGTGTAAATTCGATTAAGATTATTTTAATTTTCCTTTCCACCAATGCTTCGTGGAGTCCACTTTCAAGTTCATATCTCACTCTATTACACATGTATCTTTTACTTAAGACAATGATGAGTCTTCGGCTCTTTTCTATCAATGAGTGGATTTCATCAACAACAGCTGAAAATGCAAGACATGTCATTACTTTAAGAGAATTGAAAGGCTAAGCATGGGAGATAAGTCATTCTGTAGTCTCCTATTTTATATTATTTAACTCTTGACCTCACTGATAAGTTTCTTATCAAGATAAACTATTTACTCTCAATTTTATATACCTACTAAAGACACTTTCCTACATAACAATAATAATGATCTTAGCACTTATGCATATCACACCTCCTCCTGAATACTTTTTGTTTAATTCACTTAATCATCATAAAGACCCTATTATCGCTCCCAATATGCAGACAAGGAAGCTGAAGTACAGAGTGGTTAAGGAATGTCCTCAGAGTTGCACAGCTAACACATGGCAGCACCAGCACCTGAGCCCAAACAGAGTACATTGTCCTAACCAGTATACAGTCCTGCTCTCCATCTGCATGGAAGAGCATGCAAAAATTAACACACAAAATAACATTTTTCTTCAAAATATCAGGTAAAAACTAGTTTTGCTTTCTGGGCCATACAGTGTTTGTCACTGATACTTCACTCTTACATTGTTGCTCAAAAGCAGCCATAGAGGACATGCAAACAAATGCCGGTGGTGTGTTGCTGTCAGGGGCCCAGGTCGCACCTCTGGATGACTGCTCACCAGCCCCTGTTCTAAAGCTCTGGGCCTTCACAGAGAGAGCTATCAGTCAAACCTAACTACAACCATACATACACTCTTTCTGTTTGTGTGATAACTACAATGATATATACTTTCAAAATCACTCCTACAAAATAAGGCGAAAACAGTTCAATTGATGTAGAGTCAAACACAAATGCTTTGCACATAACAACATGCAATCTGAGATAGCATAAAAATTGATCATTGCATGCATTTGACAATCTAGCACATTATTCCCTATGAAACACCATTCATTAATAGACTGTAGTATATTTTGTCTAATTAGTAATATTTTCCCCTTCCGATTTATAATATAGGAAAGAATGTACAACTACTTATTTATTGCTGTATCTTCAGAAATTGACACATAAATGGAATTTAATAAATATTGAATGAATGAGTGATGTAACAATGACACTATTTGTATTTTTCGTTAGCATCAGTGTCCAAAACTTAGCTTGGAATCAGATTTCAAATGTTTTCTCTGGAAGACATCAGAGAAAACACAGAAATATCACTAAATTTGATTGCAACTGTAATTTACTTCAATTTGTGTATCATAGTTGTTTATACTCATATGTAAGTATTAACAGAAACCACTGAATTATACAAGTATAATTTGGTAAGAATCACCAACTTCCTCTTATTTATTCTTTCTAATTTCCCTATTTGTTAAAGATTTATTTATTTATCTGAAAGGCAGAGTTACAGAGAGAGAGGAAGAGAGAGAAAGGGAGAGAGAGAGAGAGAGAGAGAGAGAGAGAGAAAGCTTCCATCTGCTGTCCCTCCCCAGATGGCCACAACAGCCAGGGCTGGGCCAGTCGGAAGCCAGGAGCCTGGAATCTATCTGGGCTTCCCATGTGGGTGGCAGGGACCCAGGAACTTGAGCCACCTTCTGCTTCTTTCCCAGGCACATTAGCAAAGAGCTTGGTGAGAAATGGAACAGCCTAACACTCAAACAAGCACTCAGATGTGATGCTGGTGATGCAGGTGGCGGCTCAAACAGCCATGTGGTAACACTGGCCCGTAATTCTCCTATTTTCTACTTAATCTTCTCACCTGTAATCATACAATAAAGAAGCACTTTCTACTTGGAATTATCCTGTATTTATAGTGTGAACATCACATTTTAAATCCACAGTACAATTCTGCTTACTGCAGTCATTTCTAGATAAATGCTGCAGATTATTGCAACAGGTTCTTGAATAGAAATACCCTGTTTGGGCCAGTGCTGTAGCGCAGTGGGTTAATGTCCTGGTCTGCAGTGCCAGCATCCCATGTGGGCACCGGTTCAAAACCTGGATGCTCCACTTCGGATCTAACTCTCTGCTATGGCCTGGGAGAACAGTAGAGGATGGCCCGAGTCCTTGGGCCCCTGCACCCACATGGGAGACCCAGAGGAAGCTCCTGGCTCCTGGCTTCGGATTGGCGCAGCTCCGGCCATTGTGGCCAATTGGGGAGTGAGCCATCGGACGGAAGACCTCTCTCTCTCTCTCTCTCTTTCTCTCTCTCTGCCTCTCCTCTCTCTGTGTTACTCTTTCAAATAAATAAATAAATCTTAAAAAAAAAAAGAAATACCCTCTCCCTTTCCCAAAATTTCAGAGAACCTTGAAGTAGACCAAGAGAAGAGATTATTTGAAGCACCATTCTAAATGTATTTTCTCACTACTGAATTTGTTGCCTTGCCTGGTTACTGCTGGTTTAAGGTTTGTTTATTTTTAAGGATAGCCATCTAAATGGTTAACCAATTCCTTTGTTAAAAGCAAAACATCTCCCCTGGTTTTACCCTGGTACTCCTTTACTTACCTCCTCCAGGCATGACATCCCTTTCAAATATACATAACTTATACCCAAAATGTTTCTCCAACACCCTGGGCAAAATCTCCACAGCAAATGTGTATTCCTCTCCATCTTCGGGTCGACATTCTTTTAGGTAAGACACAAAAGCATCGTATGTTTTTCCATCTAGGAGATAAGGTTGACTGTTTTAACTAGTGTGTAAATAACAGTTTAGGTGAAAATGTCAGTGAAAGTCATAAACAGTGAGTTTAGAATCTTTGAAAAAGAAAGGTTAGATACAGCATTGTTAAACCTCAGATGCTAAGCAAAAGGACTAGTTAGCCAAATGTCTTTTTGAGCATCTTCTTTAAGACTCCCTTTGTTTGACACTGCAAAGGGGTAAAAAAAAATCAGGTAATGGAATTTAAAGAAAATAAAAGCCGAAGGAGCACAATCAGGCCCTCACTCCAGGAGTGGGGAGCAAATCTCACCTTGGTTTACTCATCACTCAATTCTGCCACCATTCCAATTACTGCCCCTAAAAGAACCCTCTAGCAAGTGAAGGCAGACACAAAATTGAATGTTTCCACTCAAGAGCAAGAAGAAGCAGTAGAGGTGATGGAAACCTCTGTGCTGTTAGAACCCCTGCTATGATACCTTTACATTTTATAGACTATTGTATGTCAAAAGGAAATTTTCACTGATTATCATTGCTCCAACTTAATTCCTAAAAATTAAGCAATATTGAAATGTTAGCTAAATAATAAAGATCATTTTATTGGGTAACTAAGAAAATTATGTCTTTATTTATTTATTTATCAAGAGGAAGAGTTAGAGAGAGAGAGGGAGAAAGAGAGAGAGAGGTCTTCCTTCCTCTGGTTCACTCCCAAATGGCCGCAATGGCCTGAGCTGGGCCAATCTGAATCCAGGAGCCAGGAGCTTCCTCCAGGTCTCCCACACGGGTGCAGTGACCCAAGCACTTGGTCCATCTTCCAGTGCCTTCCCAGACCATAGCAGAGAGCTGGATCCAAACCGGAGCAGCCAGCGGGACATGACCTGGCACCCATATGGGACCACAGAGGGAGGCTTAACCCACTACACCACAGTACCAGCTCCCAAAATTCTGCCTTCTACCTTCATTGGAAATGTTTGAGAAAACAATACAAATAAATGCAACAACTTGAGAAAAGTAGTACCACATTTACAGACAAAAACAGCATAATACAAGCAGAAATAACAAAACTAGCAAACAAAAAATCTTGGCCAGAGGACAGTGAGTTATTCCATGCTTTCTGAAAGAAGGAAATTTTGAGTCGGGTCCTAAATATAAAAGTGATGCTAGGAGCATTGGGGTCTGTAGAAGAAAAAGGAAAGTTAGAGGAATGATCTCTCTTTATCCTGTGACAATTGGTCAGACAGCAAAGGAGTTAGCTTCATGCTCGAGTATATTATTGGAGTTGATGAATTTGCTACTGGGTGTTTTTGGAGCCTTTATTAATATCGAGTGGCATGAAACCATTCTAAATTTATGTCCTTTGTACTAGCCACATCATTTATGCCCAACTGCCAAACTCAACATCCTCAACAGCATTCAGGCTCACAAGATAACCAAACTTCTTCAGTTCTATCTACAGTTTGCTGGTTCAGCAGGTCAAGTCAGAACCTACTGTTATGTATAGCAATTACTCTTCAGAATTGCATGCACAACAAGGAAAGGGCATTTTGGTAAAAATGGGCTAATTATTTGCATATTGGAGATAGTGAAAGTTAGTAAAAAGTAAGACCAGTTAGACCAGTAAGTAGGTCTGTTGGATAATCCTGTTAGATTTCTGTGAACTATAGCTATCTACTAGTTACAGTAAAAGCTAGTGCTTCGATTAGTATGGTCTTTGTGACCATGATGAACTCAGACACCAAGATGTATGGCAAATGTATAGGCAAACTTTTTAAAAAGACACATTTTTCTCATAATCAGCATAAAACCAATTGCAATAAATGAGCAAGACAGTTCAAATATTAATTTATACTATATATGAAATAACTTTGATCTTAGCCATGAAAAATTTGATTAATTGCTTTCAAATACTTTATTTCCCTCAATTCTCTTCTTGTGGTGCAAATCTGTTTATTTTTTAAAGATTTATTTGTCTGCTGAGAGGCAGAATTACAGAGAGGGAGAGAAGCAGAGAGACAGAGAGGGGTCTTCCATTTGCTGGTTTACTCCCCAAATGCCCACAACAGCCAGGGCTAGCCAAGGCTGAAGCCAGGAACTCCATCTGGGTCTCCCACATGGGTCTCAGGGGCCTATGCACTAGACCAGCATCTACTGCCTCTCAGGTACATCAGCAGGAAGCTGGATGGGGAGTATGGAGAAGCTGGGACTCAAAGCCACACTCCAATACGGGACGTAGGGGTCCCAAGAGACAGCTTAACCTGCTGCACCAGAAATCTGCTCATTTTGAATCACCATTTATTTTAAATGTAGACCATGAAAGGCTTAGTGACTTTGAAAACTGACAACATAAAGTGTTCAAGGAATCTGAAATCAAATGATATTTATTCTTCTGGTTGTGCAGAAGTGAAGCCACCACAGGGGTGTATATTTGGGAAAAGAAAGAGTCCATCAGACCAATGCTTCCACTATGTGTGTTGACCATGATCTGCTTTTAATTTTTTAAATTAAACTACTTAAATTGAAATTTAAATTTTTTTATTATTTCATTTCCAGTCTTTCACAAAGCAAAAGTGAACACACCCTTGGATATTGCAGCAAGGTTGAATTGCTGAGTAAGTGTTCAGTTTTGTCTATATAGCTTACTCCTGTCCTTTACATGGGCTGCACATGCTCATGGAGCATGCTTCTAATGGAAATGATTTACAGCGTGTCTTTAAACACCTGTGCACTTGCCCTGCTGAGAATTAGGAAATATGAGCTGCAAAAATTATCTGTGAATCAGGTCAAACACTGCCGGAGAGGAAAAGTACCTTAGCTGAAAATCAGAAGGAAAATGATTAGTCAATGTCCATTTTAAGACAAATGTTGATCTTTGCAAACAGAGATCATTCAGAAAACTTCAGTTATAGATGTCCTGGTTTGTGGAGCATCTCTCCATAGAGAGTCAGTCACACACACACACACACACACACACACACTGGCTCAAAACTAAATTCATTAGCTTTGTTAATTTTATATTATTAGATAGAAAGTTTTAAGTGTAAAATATGCATCTATAAAAATACCAGAGGATCTATAGAATAATTCCTTTATAACTTGATGATCAGAGAGCCTTTGTAAGTATTTATGACTCCAAATCCAAAAAGCATAAAAGCAAAGATATATTTGAGTAGATTTTTAAAAAGTCTTCCACACAGTATAACACTAGAAGCAATGCTAAAAGACAGCCACAATCTGGCAATATTGGCATTTCATATTATAAACAATATATTTACTGCCTTAAAATGTAAATAGCCCCTAGAAACAAGTAAGTAAAAAAAAAAACTAAAACCCATCAGCCCAATGGAATAATGGGTGACTGGCATGAAGAAGTAGGTGGAGAAAAGAAATTCAAGCAAATCTTAAGCAAATGAAAAGTTACCCGTGTTCTTATACAATAAGAAAAATGCAAATTAAAACTACTTTGAGATAACAACTTTCACTTATCAGACTGGCAATTATCCAAAAGGCTGTGGGTGAGACTGGAGAACAAGACTGACTCCCATTCCTCGAGGGCAGTAGTCAGTATGGTTGTGAGGTGGGAAAATCAACAGCGTCTATCAAAATAATAGCTGGGTATGCTCTTTGTATTTCTGGACATTCTACTTTGGGGATATATTGTGCACACATGAAACAATGAATGTATAAAGATATATACCACAGCATTTCTATGATAACAACATATTGGAAAGAAACCTGACATCCACGGACATGAGGCTAAATAAAAAACACTACTTTGACAGAAATAGAATGTTGAACCCTAAAAATTAAAGGAATTCTTTATAAAGTAATGCGGAAGGCTGTCTAAAGTATAGTAAAGTTGAAATTGTCTACATAATAAGGTAAAATTTGCTTTTTAAAAAGGAGGGGTGGAAAAGGACTCTACATTATTTAGGCAGACATGCTATCAACAAGGGGGTACAGTGAGAATTTCAGACGTGAGACAAGACTGGCAGGGTGACTTCCTACTCTATAATTTCCTAGACATTTGGGTTTTGAACCGTGTGAAAATTTTTTCCTACACACATGCGTGCACATATAAACACAGACATATGCACACACATAGAGAAAAACAAAGCAAGAGCAATGAATTAAATTTATTTGTTTGTTTCAGTAATTTTCTTGAAACTTGAGGGCTTCCAGTCCCCTTTAAATATAGGGAAACTGAGGCACAGAGTCACCAGAAAGACATAGTAGTAGATAAAAACTAGGAGGCCTAGGAGACCAGAACCTAGTCTAATGTAGCTAAGTCTTGTAGCTTAAGGTTCTTTCTGGCATATCATTCAGCTTCCTAGGCCAAAATAATGAGTCATAAAACAATTCAGTTCCATTTAGACAGACTTTATTGAGTGTATGCATCATATTCAACACCTAGATAAAGTACATACAAGGACAACCACATGGACAGTCACTGGGCTCAACCATTCCACAGGCACTTAGGAGGACAGGACAAACAAAACCGAAACAGCTAGAGAGTAACTTTCCACAACACAGAGGTAAGCACAAGGAGAGGTTTCACAAACAATGTTCATAATGGATGCTACACATAGAGCAATTTTTCCATGGAAAACCTCTCCCCTAGATTAAGCAGTAACATTCCTGTGATCAAACTAAGAGGAAGATTAACACTTCTTTATTGTGTTTCTTAACGAGAGCATAAAATAAGAAGTCCCAGCATTTCGGTAACTGTTACCTGTTAATGTTTCATCTCTTCCCATGAAACGTCTATAAAGCAGAACCAAGTCCACTCTATAAATGACACCCACGATCACAAGGCACACGACTACTACTGAGATTGAAACGGCTATGATCATTCCTCCAGTGAAGACATGGCCCGGGATATCTGCCCCAGGTGCTAGCAAAGAAAGAGAAAAAGGAAAAGAAAGCGATGAATCAAAGAAATGGTCCCAGTGTCTCCCATGGTCATGTTGCAATAGTCAGTTTCCCTCCTTCACACCAATGCAGCTGTCACTCCAGCTGCTTCTACCTTGCACAGCGTTACTTGGCCTTCCTGCCTTTAGTCTGGAGCCGTGATCTTTCTCCCCCAACTTTTAAAGAATAAACATGTACCCAGGGAATGTCTGAGACCTGCAGGGCAAACACTGTATTGTGTTCCATCAGCACCCGCGGGAAATCAGATTTCTAGGGAGATAAGATACTAGTGTGTAGCACGGAGGACCCAAACATCCATCTCAGGTACTGGGTTAAGAACAGAAACAGGAGCTTTGACTGATTGAGATTGCCTAGGCTTGCAGCCAGCTTCATCTATTATTTTCTATCAAAGTGAAAACCATGGATGTCCTTGAACCTTGATATCTTCATCTGTCAAATGAAGACCGGAAGAGTCCCTGCTTCAGGGACTTCAGGGCTGGCTCTGTGGCAAAGTAGGCTAAGCCTCCGCCTGCAGTGCTGGCATCCCATGTGAGTGCTGGTTCGAGTCCCGGCTGCTCCTCTTCTGATCCAGCTCTCTGCTGTGGCCCAGGAAAAGCAGTAGAAGATGGCCCAAGTGCTTGGCCCCTGCACCCATGTGGGAGACCCAGAAGAAACTCATGGCTTTGGATTGGTACAACTCCAGCCATTGGAGCCACCTTGGGAGTGAACCAACAGATGGAAGACCTCTCTGTCTCTCCCTCTCTCTGCCTGTAACTCTACCTCTCAAATAAATAAATCTTAAAAAGAGAGAGAGAATCCCTGCTTCACTTACACAGTTTCTACTTGGGGGATTGAGTAAAAGAGGTTCCATATAAAGTCATGAACAAAGTGCCTGGCACACAGCTCTCAGTTCAGCAAAACTTTGTAGAAAAGTGTCCTTGGGAAAAAAAGTTACTTCCTAGACTGATTCTTTTTATGCATATTTCCAACAACATGAAATAATACAAAGGAGTGTCAAGAGATAGTTATTTTTCACAACCGTTCCATGATGTGGTAACAGCAATGCTGATGAAGTAGTACATTTCCTTCTGGGTTTGCATTTTGTCCCTGCAAGTTTTTGCTTAACTGAGATCACGTGGGAATCACTCTTTGTCTTTTCACATTATATTATGAGCACTTCACCACGTCATTAAATTAGAATTCATAATATCCCAGTATTTAAATTGAATGATTTTTTGATATACACATTGTATTGCAATAAAAATATGCATACACATTTATCCATACTTCTGAATAGATTTGAGGATAGAAATATTTCTAAGTCAAAGCAGACAAGTTTAAAGCCCTTGCTCGGGCCAGCGCTGTGGCATAGTGGTTTAACACCCTGGCCTGAAGCGCTGGCATCCCATATGGGCACTGGTTCGAGACCCAGCTGCTCCACTTCCAATCCAGCTCTCTGCTCTGGCCTGGGAAAGCAGTAGAGGATGGCCCAAGTCCTTGGGCCCCTGCACCCACATGGGAGACCCAGAGGAAGCTCTTGGCTCCTGGCTTTGGATCTGCCCAGCTCCGGCCATTGGGGCCATCTGGGGAGTGAATGAGCGAGTAGATGGAAGACCTCTCTCTGTCTCGGCCTCTCCTCTCTCTGTGTAACTCTGACTTTCAAATAAATGAATAAATCTTTTTTTTTTTTAAAAATAAGTCTTTGCCAGCTTAGCTAGCACAAGGTTTAGCAATGATTTTTCCAGCAAAATTAGCGCTTAGGATGCAAGTGTGAGCTTGGGCATTTTTCTTCACTGTGAAAGCTGCTTGATAAGGCTGATGAAGAAGTCAGGAAAAGAGCTTAGCACCGAGCCTATCATATACTCACTCATAATCCATATGTCATGAGTGTGATTTGTGGTGTTTTTTTTTTGTTTGTTTGTTTGTTTGTTTTTTTGACAGGCAGAGTGGACAGTGAGAGAGAGAGACAGAGAGAGAAAGGTCTTCCTTTTTGCTGTTGGTTCACCCTCCAATGGCCGCCGCGGCCGGCGCGCTACGGCTGGCGCATCACGCTGATCCGAAGCCAGGAGCCAGGTGCTTCTCCTGGTCTCCCATGCGGGTGCAGGGCCCAAGCACTTGGGCAATCCTCCACTGCACTCCCTGGCCACAGCAGAGAGCTGGCCTGGAAGAGGGGCAACCAGGACAGAGTCCGGCGCCCCGACCGGGACTAGAACCCGGTGTGCTGGCGCCGCAAGGCGGAGGATTAGCCTAGTGAGCTGCGGCGCCGGCTAATTTGTGGTTATTAAAGTTGCAGGAGTCCGAAGACATTAAACCAGGTGTTCTGGGTGAACTGCAAATGGACACCAGGACAGCACGTAGGAGGCACCTGGTTCTAATTCCTTGGCCTCTCTCTCTTTATTTCTCAACCAAAGTTAAGACACCGTCATCTCTGTGTGTCCCTTTGTAGGTCAGTGTGTGTCTCTGTCTCTCTGTGTCTATCTCCATCCAGTCTTTATCAGCCCTCTCTGTCCGCATTGCTTTGTGTCTTTGCCTGTCTCTATACATTTCTCCTTCTGTCTCTTCTCTCTCTCTCTCGCTCTCATTTTCTCTCTCAGTCTATTTCTATTTCAGTCTCTTGTTCTCTGCCTTTCTCTGCATATACATGTCTCTCTTTTCTCTCTGTGTTTCTATATCTGTCTCCAGGTGTGTTTGTGTCTCTCCCTTTCTCTCTTTATTTCTGTCTCTTTTTCTGTCTCTGTCTCTATGTACATATGTCTCTATCCTATGTATGTGTTTTTCTCTGTTTCCAAGTGTGTTTATCTATCTCCCTTCCTTTCCATCTCTTAGATCCTAACCTTTCCTTCTATATCCAGGGAATTGATATCCAAGCCTGGTAATGAGCAGTGACAATGGGAAAAAAGAGTTTTTTGGCTCCAGACAAAGCCACAAAAGTCAACAGCTATGAACTGCATTGTTTTTTGGTAGAGGATGGGTTGGGTATACTTGGAACACCCCCATTAATTGTGCACTGAAAAACATCAAGAACCTATGGGTCAGAACCATTAGTTGTGTATCTGCACTATACAGGGGCTGCCCAGGGCTGGAGCCCTCAGTAATCTTTGTTGAATCAATGGCCACACCAAAAGGTCCCTTGACCCCAGGGCCCTGCTAAGATAGGCTGGAAGTTCAATTAAACCCAATCCTATCCTGGCCTGCAGACTTTCTCCAATGTGTTCTGGGTGTGAAAGGTTGAGTATGCAAGGAATGCTCTGAGTGCCTCCCCACAGCCGTCACCCACAGTCAGCTGCATCCCTGAGCCTAGCCTGCCTCATGCTCGGATATTCTGGTCTCTATCTGGGATTGGATCATGACTGTGACAGCAAATGCATCAACTCTGTGCTTTCATTCTCTGCCAGGGATCATGACACAGGAGTCCAGCAAAGGCTGAACACCAGCTCTGCCACTGAATGCTGTGGCACAAGGCGCACTGCTTCACCTCTGCAGAGCTTGGTCTTGGTGTAGGAGAGGAGGAAACAATGATTTCATGGGACCCCACAGCAGCAACATGCTAAGTTTCCACAATTGCCTACAAATAAAACTTGTGCACCTTTTTTCAACAAGATGTAGCTGTTTGTGTCTATGCCTCCTTCGCTGACCGCAGTGCAATTATATGAGAAATTTAGATTGTTTTCGTTGACATTCTCAATTCTCAATATCTTTGAAGCATACCATTTGCCTTCTGAAGTCCTATAAGAGAGGAAAATAATTTAGCAACAGGCTGTGTTCATTGCCAGCAAAGGTACTCACAAAAGGGCAATCGTGTGTTTAAATACTCAAAGGCTTCTACCATGTTGACCACATCAGGTATTCCCTTTCTGTGGGAATTTTCAAAGTGCAGTCTTCAGTGAGATTCGTGCATCTCTGAGACAACAGAATAGACAGAAACAGTCCTCCTGAGACTACCTGGAGGACAGGGCTATCAATGACCAAGGAGGAGAATGATGCTAGATGAAAGAAAATATCCTTCCCCTAATTATGTTTCTGTTTTTAAAAGATTTATTTTATTTATTTGAAAGGCAGAGTCACAGAGAGTGAGAGAAAGAGAGACAGAGATGTCCATCCACTGGTTCACTCCAATATGGGAGTGCCTGCAACAGAATGCTGGTCCTTCTTGAAAATTTTTTTTTTTTCACAATACTTCCCATCTCACTCCTTGAAGTTCTTCCCAGAATGCAATTTTCACTAACTGTGACAAAACTGTAAATTGTTAAGCGTAGATACAGATTCACAACAATTCTGTCCACGCAATTCTAAATATCACTCTTATTTTGTTAAGCCTTAAAAAGAAAACATAATTGGGCCAGCGCCACGGCTCACCAGACTAATCCTCTGCCTTGCGGCGCTGGCGCACCGGGTTCTAGTCCCGGTAGGGGCACCGGATTCTGTCCTGGTTGCCCCTCTTCCAGGCCAGCTCTCTGCTGTGGCCAGGGAGTGCAGTGGAGGATGGCCCAAGTGCTTGGGCCCTGCACCCCATGGGACACCAGGATAAGTACCTGGCTCCTGGCTCCTGCTATCGGATCAGTGCGGTGCGCCAGCCACAGCACGCTGGCCGCGGCGGCCATTGGAGGGTGAACCAACGGCAAAGGAAGACCTTTCTCTCTGTCTCTCTCTCTCACTGTCCACTCTGCTTGTAAAAAAATAAATAAATAAATAAATAAATAAATAAAAATTGACACCTCCAGCACATGGGAAATACCGGTTAGGCTATTCAGGAGAGTGAGAAATGGACTTGATATAACCACTACATCAAGCTCTCTTCTCAAAGGATCTGAGCCATCCAATCATTTGTAGGAGGCAACGCTCATGGTGTCCACTTAGCCTGTGAGTGACAGAGTCTGAGAGTCTGTGGTTATCAGCACAGCCAGCTCTGGTTCCCATATGCCTGCTTACATATATATCTCCTAACAATAGGTTTCTCCAGTGCCTGGGACATGAAACCACACGGTAGCACTCAAAGTCTCAAATATATCATAGAACGTAATTCTGTTCATGTATCAGAAATAGACATCCAAAAATGCCATCTAGCACAAATGAAAATCCAGAATAAGACACAAAAGCTACCGAGAAGCTAAAACTGATGGCATATAGACCTTACATACCCAACTCCAAAGACCTATCTCCCTACTCCCATAGCTTTCATTCTTTTCTAAGAAGTTTGACTTGGGTGATTGTATTAAACTCAGGGCTCCTGGCTTCAGTTACACCCATGGCCAGCCATTGTGGGCATTTGGGGAGTGAGCCAGAGGAAGGGGGCGCCCTCTCTCTTTCTCTCTCTACAAACAAATAAACAATTTTGGTGAGTTTGTCTTCTATCTCTCCAAATATTATAAATAGACCCCTGGAAGGGGAAATGAAAAACTTCAATGGAGGACAGTTCTTGGGAATGAGATACACTTCCAGGAGAGCCACACAATGCCCTGAATTCAACATTTACTGGGCATGAATCACATGTTTGCTCCTTCCCAAGGAGCAGACCTAACAGTGTAAAGAGCTTATAGACAAATGCCTGCAAGAACTGAGACATTCCAGCATGTTGGTGACAAAGAATGTACCCAAAATATGTGGAAAGTAGGAAGAAAACCTCAACAGTGAAGCTAAAATGATATATACTCACTAGACCATGAGTAGTGTTATTGGATAATTATTAATAATTACAGTATGATCCAATATCATTCAGAGAAGTTTGAATGGCCATTTGTTTTGTATGTTTTGCTTTAAGAAGTCTGGTCATTCCTTAATAGAAGAATACAAGCTATCAAAATGTAAATACACATGTGTCATTTGGAACTTCTTTTGGCCCTTAGCGGGGAAAAAATCCACAACATTTATAAAAATCCAAAATACTAGAATAGGCAATTAGTGTAATGGCTAAGACACCAATTGGGATGGACACATTCCATATCAGAGTGCATGGGTTCCAGTCCCAGGTCTGGCTCCTGACTCCAGTTTCCTGCTAATGTGCACCTTGGGAGGCAGCGATAATGACTCAGCTAAGTGAGGTTATGCCACTAATGTGGCAGATAAAGACTGCTTCCCCAGCTCCTGGTTTCAGCCCAGGCAGCCCAGTCCCAGACATTATACAACATTTGAGGAGTAAGCAGATGATGGGAGCTCTGTCCGTCTCTTGCCTCTCAAGAAAAAAAAAAAAAAACTCCCCCCAAAAATATGGCTTAAGTGATTTCTCATATATAAGAAGCAAAATAAAATCCCCCATCACCTCAGATCCTTACTGGCCAGAAGCTACTTTTGCAAGATGAACTCTCATTGATTTTCTCATGGGTCCTCTATCTCTAACTCAGATCCTGGCAAAGTTTTCTGCATCAACCTAGGGTATGGCAATTATGCTGATAAAATACATAGATTATAATCATAATTAAAAAAAAAAACTAAAACACCACATCAGTGACTCACAACCCCATACACATTACCACATATGATTGGATATGAAAACCATGTATACATGTTATGAAAACCATTCCATGATATATACCATATTGCGCATAGGCATACCTAGTTCTCATTCCTTCCTCTTCATGTACATTGGGGTCTGATCCATTTTCTCTCCAGAAGTTCCAATAAAGCTGATCCTTTTCATTCAGCAGAGCGGAGCAGTTGAGCTGTACATCTTTTCCTGGGTAAAAGTTGACAACCAAAGTTGTGACTTTATAGAAATCCAGATTTCCCAAAAGGCTTAAATTAATATAATCATTCCATGTTAACCTAATATAAAACATAGGGTTGCATCCCATAAAGAGAAGAGGAAGGCCTTAATTTTATTTAAAAATAATAATAAAATGGAAGAATTAGGAGCTATTTTATTTCTCTTTAAATGTTAATTTTTATATCCATTATTAAAACTCAGGGTTTATTTCCTTTTTAGTATACAACTAACAGGTAGTGTCAGGCCAATATTCTTACTACAATTTCCAGAAAAACAAAATGGATAAGTCAAAAAATATCAATAAAATTAAAAACTTAAGATATACGCAGAAAATGTGGACAATAATCAATAGAAAAATACACAATATAAGCAGAACCAGAGATTGTTCTAGATTTAACAGATAATGACTAGGCCGGTGCCGCAGCTCACTAGGCTAATCCTCCACCTTGCAGCGCCGGCACACTGGGTTCTAGTCCCGGTCGGGGCACCGGATTCTGTCCCGGTTGCCCCTCTTCCAGGCCAGCTCTCTGCTGTGGCCAGGGAGTGCAGTGGCGGATGGCCCAAGTGCTTGGGCCCTGCACCCCATGGGAGACCAGGAGAAGTACCTGGCTCCTGCCATCTGATCAGCGCGGTGTGCCAGCCGCGGCGGGCATTGGAGGGTGAACCAATGGCAAAAAGGAAGACTTCTCTCTCTTTCTCTCTGTCTCTCTCTCTCACTGTCTACTCTGCCTGTCAAAAAAAAAAAAAAAGATTAGTAAGTTTATAAATGATTTGAGGAATACTATTAGTCAGCTTAAGCTGGTTGACATACAAAGAATGATAAAACCAAAACCTTCAGAATTCAGTGTTACCTCAAATACATTTGGAACATTAACATGCTCTACCATATTCTGGGCCTGAATCAACTCACAACAAATTTCAAAATATGCTTTGATAACAGCGTGTAACCTTGGAACAAAATGAAGTTAATCTAAAAAACAATAACAAAAACCACTAGAATACTCTCCAAATATTTTGAAATCAAGGAATACAAGTAATCCATGAGTGAAAGCAGAAATAATAAGGACTTTAAAAAAAAAACTTTGAACTGAATAATACAAAAACATGGTATACTAATATATGTTGGAAATACCTTAAACACTGCTTAGGAAGGAATATTGGAGCTTCTCTAACTCTCCACATCAAGAAACCAGAAAAAAAAAGTGCAGATTGAATCCAAAATGAGTAGAAGAGAATAAATAATAGACATAAGGACAGAAAACAATAAAAGTTAAAAAGCAAGCAAAACACAAATACAGAGAGTCTGCTATCTGAGCAGCGCTGAGCATGTGCCGTTGTGTAAACCACTGTGACTTCAGAGGTAGACAGGGGGTGTGGACTTTGGGGGCAGTCGACAGACTCAATGCCAAACTGCCATTTTCAACAGTGTAACTGTAGCCAAGTTACGTGGCCATCCTTCACTTCAGTTATTTCATCTATAACATGGGGTAAAACCCTCAGGGTTGTTTGGAGGATTTAGTTCAAGAGTATATTCCAAACACCTAGCACAATACCTGGTTTAGCATATTTAGCATGTGTGAATTTCTTTCTTCTTTCCCTTCCCTTTTGAAAGGAATTATTCAATTGGTCATATTGATTCATAAGACTTGGCTAGAGGAATCCTAAATGTGTAGTCAATTCAATCCATTGACTAAAAGTGAATTACTTAATCAATATTCAAATCATAAAGTTACTTTGAGTCATTGCTTCAGAGTGGTCTCACTGAATTTTTACTTAGAAATTACTTTGGAGGCAATTCGAGGAAAAAACCCAGTCTCCAAGCCACAGGCAGCTCCACCCTTTGATCACATGGCACCAGTAGAATAGTAACTAACAGTAATTAGCTTCTTCTGGGTTTGTAATGTTCTTCACTAAATATAGAATGTGTTGTGCACACAATGTTGATCAATAATGAATCAAATTTACCCTTGGAATACTCAATTGTGACCTCTATTTAAAAATGCACAATATATTTATGTCAAAACATACCTAATTCCACTTCAACATGGTTAAGCTTTGGTCCAAGAAGAGCTGGAATTATATTATTGTTATCTAAAAGTGAAAAAGGAAAAGAAAATGGGTCAGTATTGCCTTGAGTTTCTTTGAGAAAAGCATCTTTTATTGTAGGTTCATTTCCTTTCATGCAGCAAAGATTTCAATACAGTAGTCCCCCTACCCCGCATCTGAAATTTCATTTTCTGCATTTTCATTACCCATGGTCAGCTGTGGCCCAAAAATATTAAATTAGAAATTCCAGAAACAGACAGTTCACCCGTTTTAAATTGTATGTCATTCAGAGTAGCTTGATGAAATCTGACAATATCCTGCCCCATCCCACCTGAGACACAGACCCTACCTTTGTCCAGTGTTTTCACACTATATGCACTACCCACCTATTAGTTACTCAGTAGCTGTCTCTGATATGAGATGGATGTGGGGATGTTGATAGCAATGTGCTTGTGTGTGGAGTTCAGCATTATCCATGATTTCAGCTATCACCTCCCCCACAGACCAAGGCAAACTGCTGTCATCTTCCCTTTACAACATCTTGAGTTATATTTTGATTAATTCAAGGTTGTAGCTCTGATTTTTTGACAAACAAGGAACTCACTTTGAGGTACCAATCCTTTCCTTTCAGAACATTGAGAGAATTATCCATTTAATGCCATGCTCCGGCTGCCTCACTTGGTTCAGCTCAGTCCAGGCTCTGCAGTGGTATCCACACTTGTAGGTCAAATTCTACTTCTGTTCCTGAATGACTTTTGACCCCAACTGAAAGTGTATAATATTCTCCCCAACACCCCCCCTCCCCCATCTAGTGACGTTTGGGAAGTAAATCACCACTTGGCAGCTTCCTATTCAATGTTAGGATACAGCTTAAGGCAGTTGATAACAGCCGAATTCTGAGAACCCTTGCTGTCACACTTTACTGATGAGTAATTTGAGGCAGAGATAAGCTATAATATTTAACTCATTCAAGGTCATAACCTCACAGAGCTGTGAGGACTGTACAAGATGACTCAACTAAAGCATGTAGCACCATCCTTGGCCCACAGTAACTGCTTCTTGGATAAAGCATGATTACTGCTTCATCAAATAAGGACAAGTATGCCCAGGGCCTGAAAAGCAGAGATGCATGGAGGGAGAGGGTGGAACATCAAAGACAGGAGATTTCTACGAGATTATATATACATATACATAAACTTGAAGAATTTAGGGCATATGATTTTACATAGAATTTAAGATTTTTAAGTTTAAGGTTTCAGGTATTAGATTTCTGGGCCATGGATGGATCAGAAGTGGCAGAATAATAGCCTCTCTCCAAAATTTCCATATCCTACTTCCTAGATCCCGTGACTATGTTGTGCTACATGGTGCTATGGTTCGAATGTTCCTCAAAACTCATGTTGAAATTTAATTGCTACATAGTTCCAAGATGGTTGAATAGGGAAACCACACACTGCTTTTAACTAGGGAAAAATAGAAGAAAAAGCAGAGTAAGTGCATCCCCAGAGGAGAGTTGGAGAGAAGCTTGCAGTGAAAAATTCTACAGAAAGAAGAGGGACCTCATGGAGCAGCATGGAAGGTCCAGACACACAGCAGCAAACGGGGACACCACACATGACACCATCCGAGACAGAGGTGAGAGCAGAATGGAGCATGGCAGCCCATGCAACTGGTGATATTGCCTGAAGGAACACACTTACTTTTTTTTTTTTATTGACTTTTTTTTTGGACAGGTAGAGTGGATAGTGAGAGAGAGAGACAGAGAGAAAGGTCTTCCTTTTGCCGTTGGTTCACCCTCCAATGGCCGCCACGGCTGGTGTGCTGCGGCCGGCGCACTGAGCTGATCCGAAGGCAGGAGCCAGGTGCTTCTCCTGGTCTCCCATGGGGTGCAGGGCCCAAGCACTTGGGCCATCCTCCACTGCCTTCCCAGGCCACAGCAGAGAGCTGGACTGGAAGAGGGGCAACCGGGAAAGAATCCGGCGCCCTGACCGGGACTAGAACCTGGTGTGCCGGCACCTCTAGGTGGAGGATTAGCCTATTGAGCCGCGGCGCCGGCCTCACATTTACTTTGAGACCAGCCTGGAGCTCAAGCAGAGGGAAACGTAGCCAACTAATCCAGCAAAAACAATGCTCATTTTTTTCTCCCTGTCCCCTGACTAGGGTGCCCAGAAACTGGCGGCTGGAGGACAGAAGGCACCATCTTGACACAGTAGAAGCTATGGTAGCTCTTGTGTGCATGTGTAGACTGGGGATTTTACCAGAGGAAAAATGTTTCCTGCTGACTTTGAATCTGACAGGGGGCTAGGAACCCATGTAGCATTGTGGGGTGCCCCCATCCCCTCAACCTAGCACAGGCTCTGGGGTTCAAACTGCCAAGGTGGAGCACCCACAGGCAGCTGGCTCTGGAAACGTCCCTGCTCTCTCTGTGGATGGGACATGCTCATGGGGCTGAGCAGATCTTCTGCACCCCATGACTGTGGCGGCCTTGTGCACTGTGACTGTGGGAATTCTGTGACTGCATGACAGGGTGTGGGGTGTAGCTGTGTCTATGGTCAATTACTGTGTCTGGCATCAGAGGCTGAGAGCTCCCCGACAGCCTAGGGTGGGCCGTTGCAGAGTTCCTTGCTCACGCTGAAGACAATACAGATCTTTTGTGTGGTTCATGTGTCAGCACTTAGTGGGGTTATACCCCTGTGGGCTAACCAAGTCTTAACAGAAAAAAATCTATCAACCTGGAATACTGTACATTTATGAATGAAGGTGAAATGAAGACCTTCCACAACAAACAGAAATTGAAAGAATTTGTCACCACTCATCCAGCCTTACAATTGATGCTTAAGGATGTGTTATACACAGAAATACAGAAAGACAGCCATAATTAGGAAAGAATGTAAAGGCAGAAAATCTACTAGTAAAAATATAAAGGAAATCCAAAGCAAACAATAGGAATACTTACGGAAAAATCACAAGACAACGTTATTACTTATCAATAGCAACCTTGAATGTAATTGGCCTAAATTCTCCCATTAAAAAATATAGACTAGCTGAATGAATTAAAAAACAAGACCCATCTATTTGCTGCCTACAAGAAACACATATCCTCTTTTGAAAAAATAAACAAAATTGATACACCATTGGTCCAACTAACTAAAACAAAGAGGGAGGAGACACAAATCAATAAAATCAGAGATGAAAAAGGAGATGTAAAATTGGACACCACAGAAATAAAAAAAAAAAAGTTATCAGAAATTACTACAAAGAGCTGTATGTATGTCAACAAATTAGAAAATCCAGAAGAAATGGATAAATTCCTGGACATATACAAATTACCAAAATTGAGCCATGAAGATATAGAAAACCTAAACCTAAACAGATCAATATCCAAGACCAAGATGAAATTAATAAAGAACCTCTCAACAAAGCAAAGCCCAGGACTGGATGACTCCACTTCTGAATTCTAACAGACTTTTTTTTTCCAAGATTTATTTATTTATTTATTTGAAAGGCAAAGTCACAGAGAGGCAGCGACAAAGAGAGAGAGAGAGAAGTCTTCCATCTGCTGGTCCACTCCCCAGATGGCCAAATCTGTGCCAATCCGAAGCCGAGAGGCAGGAGCCTCCTTTGGGTCTCCCACACAGGTGCAGGAGCCCAAGGACTTGGGTCATCCTCCACTGGTTTCTCAGGCCACAGCAGAGAGCTGTAATGGAAGTGCAGCAGCCGGGACTCAAACCAGCACCCATATGGGATGCCAGCAACACAAGCGGGGGCTCTACCTGCTACACCACAGTGCCAGCCCCTCTAACAGACTTTTAAAGAACTAATTCCAGTTCTTCTCAAATTATTCAAAACCACTGAAAGGGAGGGAATCTTCCCAAATCCCTTCTATGAGACCAGAATCACCTTAATTCCAAAGCAAGGAAAAGATACCATAAAGAAAGAAAACTATAGAGCAATATCACTGATGCACATAGACACAAAAATCCTCAACAAAATACTACCTAATCAAATCCAATGATCCATTAGAATGGTCATTCACCTGGCCTAAGTGGGATTTATCTCTGGTATGAAGGGATGATTCAACATACACAAATCAATAAATATAATATATCACATTAACAAATTATAGAATAAAAACCATACGATTATCTCAATAGATGTACAGAAAACACTTGATAAAATACAACAGACTTTCATGATAAAATCCTTAAACAAACTGGGTATAAAAGGAACATTTCTCATCACAATCAAGGCAATATGTGACAAACCCACAGCCAGCATCATACTGAATGGGTAAAAGTTGGAAGTATTTCCACTAAGATCCAAAACTAGACAAGGGTGCCTGCTTTCACCTTTTGATATTCAATATATTCCTGGAAAATTTAGGCAGATTCATTAAGCAAGAATAATTTCCAAAAAACAACACGTTCGATTATTTGTTGGGCCATGTGAAGGATTTCTTCACTGGGTAAGGTTTAATTACATTTCTGGTAGGGTCCCTGCTCTCTCAATTTCCAGGCTTCTAGGTAGGTGTTTGGAGCAGTGATAATACCCCAGTTAAGATGCCTGTGTCCCACTTTGGAGTACCTGGAATTAATACTTGGCTCTAGTTTCCTGCTACTATAGACCCTGGGAGGCAGTGGTGATGGTTCAAGTAGCTGGGTCCCTGCCACCCACATGGAGAGACCTAGACTGAGTCCTCAGCTCCTAGCCCAGCAAATCAGCAGATGGGAGCAAGCTCTTCCTTCTCTCTCTCCTCTCTCTCTCTCTCTCTCTCTCTCCCTTTCCCTCCCCAATAAATAGATACAAAATTCCAGGCTTCTGTTTTTCCATTATACACTATCTAGCTTCACAAGGAACTAGACTTGGTGCTGTCCTCCCTCCCTCCCCACACGTGTTCTCTGCCCTGGAGTCCTTTCCCCTCATGTCTCACTGCTCATTCCTGAGCCTGTCCCTCCAAGACCCAGATCAAATGGAGCCTCCTTCACTCCACTGCTCTCTTGCAGCCTCAGAGCTGACACTTTCTCAAAATGATGGCACCCTCTGGCTCACTGCCTCTCCTGATAGAATCAAATCCCTTGAGAATAGTGCACTCCTCACTTTATCCCATGTTCTCCTGCTTCCTTTGCCTCCTAGCACTAATTACAGTTTATAGTGTATAGGCATCTCCAACAAATATTTGTTGAGTGAAAACATATGTTTAACAACAAAGATTCTACAACTTACTTAAATTCCAAAGAGAAAGAGAGAGCTGACTCATGTGAGGTTCACCCAAATGTACATTCGTTTGCTGTCAAAATATTTTTTTTTTCTGCCAGGTGGATGAACTCCAAGTAGAAGGTTTGAACCTCATATTTTAAATAGTGGTGTGTTCACACGCCTAATTAAGTGGTACCTCAATTCCTAGGTGGTCATAGAAGAAAGGGGAAAAAAATTCACTTGACCAACATATGGTTGTGCCAATTCTAAGATTTCTCTTACCTCCAACTATTGTTATATTGAAGGTCTTGATGATGTTAAATTCTTTTCCGTTATGATGAATGGAAAACACACAGGAGTAATAACCCTGATCTTTAAACTCAGCATTCTTCTGTAGCAATGGGTTTGTATCTCCCTCAGCTATCTTTTCACAGTCCTGTTTTTAAAGAGCAAGTTGAAATACTTTGTTAGTGAGAGAAGTATTGAAATAACAACAGTTCAAAGTTGTTAAAATTAAAGATCTTTAGAGGAAAGGAGACAGAATGAAACACACAACTGCTGAGTGAATGTTCTATGACTTGGCATTGCTTCTATTGGAACCAAGTCCGATGGCTGTTATGGTCATTATCATTATTAATACATGTTGGGGTATGCAACATAAAGGCATTGTAGCTTTTCTCATCATTTTCTTTTAATCTGGGAGAGAGAGAGAGAGAGAAAGAGAGAGAGAGATATGCTACAACAACAACGAAAATTTTTGCTAGAGTCAAAACTTTCTGCACAACTCTACAACATTTTTAAATCCAATTTTATGTGCTCAGGACTACTCATCCTGGAAATGGCTAGTGGAGGTTGGTGCAGAATTAGTCAGAGAACTGAGTACCTAGAAGCCACTTTGATGCTTCCCACTAGAAGACAGAGGAGGACTAGAAATGCATCAGGAATAGTCAACCCCATAGGCACATTCACACATCCACCTATCTATTATAATTCCCATATGTGTTATAGGAAGCAATAATTAAAAAGCCACCTTCTTCAATGTAGTTGTCAGTCACCCATAGGTAGTTCCTGAAATAACCCAGGAACAGATGGAGAGAATGGAAACTGCATGGTTGACCTTGACTATTCAACACTGTTTCTACAAATACCAAACCATGAGAACCTATTGCCCACAGACTTCTCCCTCAAAGTTGGCCTGGGTGTGCACATTGGAGGTAGAACCAGAGAGAAATGGCACCATGGGTTTGTGCGGTACCCATGTGTGCACCTCCCATCAATAAACTGTATCTGTGTAAGTCAAATTTTTATAAACTCAAATTTTTTTTTCTCAAAATATGTAAAACATAAGAGACTCTTTCTGGCACTCTGACCCAGTGAACAGATTTGAAATACTTAGGTGTATGACCAGTTGTTTAGCCTAAAATATCCTTGGTGGGAGAACATTAGACCTTGGTGTTGAGATGCTGTTAAGACACTCGTATGCCCTATCAGTACCTGAGTTTGAGTTTAGCCTCTAGCTCCTGACTCTATCTTCCTGCAGACCTTGGGAGTTACCAGTGATGACTCAAGTAATGGATCTCCTACCACCCATAGCGGAGACCTGGATTGAGTTCTCAGCTATTGGCTCAGACCTGGCATTTTGGGAAGCAAACTAGTAGATGGGAACTCTCCCTTTCCCTCTCCCTCTCCCTCTCCCTCCCCCTTCCCCCTCTCCCTTCCCCTCCTCCTCACCCTTCCCATCTCCCTCCCCCCCTGCCCTGCCCATAAGAAAACAAAAACAGAGGCCTACAACTATGGTGCAGTAAGTTAAAAGCCCTGGTTTACAGCACTGGCATCTCATATGGGTGTCAGCTGAATCCCAGCTGCTCCACTTCTGATCCAGCTTCCCACTAATGTGCCTGGGAAAGCAGCAGAAAATGGCCCAAGTCCTTGGGCACCTGCGCCCATGTGAGAGACCTGGAAAAAGCTCCTAGCTCCTGGCATTGAAACAGCTCAGCTCCCGCCTTAGCAGCCATTTGGGGAATGAATTAGTGGATGGAAAATCAATCTCTTTCTCTCTCTCTCTCTCCCTCTCTCTCTCTCTCTCTCTCTCTCTCTGTCTCTGTTTCTACCTCTCTCTGTAACTATGTCTTTCAAATAAATAAAATAAACCTTTAAAAAAAAACTCTCAGTGTATCTGTTTTCTAAATTTAAACATCTTCATATTGAGATTTTTTAAAACCCAGCATATGGAATCTCACTAATTTCCAGGTACTATAAAATAGTCAAACCTCTGACAAGAAAGAGAGCCAAATCAACTCAGGACTGATGCAAATGTTTAGAAGACATTTCAGATAAGAGCTCTCCTTGAAAAGACACAAGTAAAACGTATTTGAGCAAATGATACAAACAAAATTTTCAAGGTCATCTTGAAGGCCCTTTGTAGGTGTGTATACAAGCACAAGTGGTCTTTAAAAGGTTCATGAAGTTTCCTTTCCAACTTGGGCCTTGCAGAATGGCTCCCACAAAGAAGGGTGGCAAGAAGAAGGGCCCTTCTCAGATCAACACAGTGGTGACCAGAGGTACACCGTCAACATTGACAAGTGTGGCCTTGGTGCAGGCTTCAAGAAGTGTGCTCTTTGGGAAAATCAAACTCCATGAAGGAGATGGGGACTCCGGATGAGCATACTGATACCAGGCTCAACAAAGCCATCTGGATCGAAGGAATAAGGATAGTCCCATATCTCATCCACCTGGAATTGTCAAGAAAATCTAATGAAGATTCGCCAAACAAGCTCTACACTTCAGTTACCTATGTATCCTGTCACCACTTTCAAAAATCTACAGATAGTCAATGTGGATGAGAAATAACTGCTGATTAAAGTTACAAAATTGCAAAAGTGTGTTGGGGGGAGGGTCATGAAAATATACATTCTCTTTTAATTACATTTTACAGAAAATTTTAAATTTTATTTTAAATTATTTATTTATTTAGTGGAGAGGTGCAGACATAGACAGACAGAGAGGGCTCACATCTGCTGGTTCACTCTCCAAGTGTCCAGAGTTGCAAAGGGTACCCAAGTCTGGAACCAGGAATGCAATTCAGTCTCCCAGATAGGTAGTAGAAATTCAATTACTTGTGCAATCACCACTTCCTGTCAGGGTCTGCATTAGCAGGAAGATCAACACAGGAGCTGGAGCCAAGTAGCAAACCCAGGCACTCCATTGAAGGATGAAGGCATCTTAAACACTAAGAAAAAGGCCTGCCCCACCTTAAACTTTTTAAGTATTCTCATATATGCTCCAGAGCAGTCTAAAAGAGCTCCTGCAATTCAGCAAGCAGAAGGCACACATACTGAAGAAAATAATCAGGCAGTCCACAAAAGCAGTAACAGTAAGAAGCCATAAGTAACTTTAAAAGCTTAATTTACGGCCAGCGCCGCAGCTCACTAGGCTAATCCTCTGCCTTGAAGCACCGGCACACTGGGTTCTAGTCCCGGTTGGGGCGCCGGATTCTGTCCTAGTTGCCCCTCTTCCAGTCCAGCTCTCTGCTGTGGCCCGGGAGTGCAGTGGAGGATGGCCTAAGTGCTTGGGCCCTGCACCCCATGGGAGACCAGGAGGAAGCACCTGGCTCCTGGCTTCGGATCAGCGCAGTGCGCTGGCTGCAGTGGCCATTGGGGGGGGTGGCCAAAAGTAAAGGAAAAGGAAAACACTAAGAGTTTCAACAATTTCCCATGTCAGATTTTTAAACCTTTTAAAAATATTGCTTCCCACTATGTGGAGATGTGAGCTTGTTTTACCAGGGATGAAATTTAAAACTGACAAGAGTTCTCTGGAGACTATTTGGTAATGGGGGTCATCAGTCATGCTCATAGCCTTGGATCTACTCATTCTACTTTCAGGGATTTGGTTGAAGGGCAAATCATATATACACCCAAAGAGCTATGGAAGTGTTATTTGCTACTGAAAAGAAGGAAACTCACAAATGTACAATAACAAGGGAATTATTTAGATGTAACATGTCATATGCAAAATAGAACCCCATGTTTGGAAGAATACTTAAAGATGTGGAAGAATGATCACAATAGAGAAACCTTTCTTTCTTTCTTTCTTTCACAGTCAGAATAAGACAGTGAGAGAGAGAGAGAGAGAAAGAGAAAGGTCTTCCTTCCGTTGGTTCACCCCCCAAATGGCCGCTACGGCCGGTGCGCTGCGCCAATCCGAGCCAGGAGCCAGGTGCTTCTTCCTGGTCTCCCATGCGGGTGCAGGGCCCAAGCACTTGGGCCATCCTCCACTGCCTTCCCGGGCCACAGCAGAGAACTGGACTGGAATAGGAGCAACAGGGACAGAACCGGCACCCTAACCAGGACTAGAACCCAGAGTACCGGCGCTGCAGGTGGAAGATTAGCCTAGTGAGCCGCGGCGCTGGCCTACCACTTTTTCAAAGGAGTTTTTCACCCAGACAAATACCGAAAGTCTGGTTGGTGGGAGTCCTGAGTAATTTTTGCTTTCTTCATTATCTCTTTTTCAATATTCCAATTTTATAAAATGAACTCACATAGTCACAGAAAATTTATACAATAGAGTTTTAAATTTCTAAGTATATGAGACAGAAGGAAATGAAAAATCTTAATCTAGCGTTCCTAAAAGTTGATTGAAGGAAAAAGATTGAACACCCAACACAGGGACGCTTCTGGGCGACACACACACACACACACACACACATTGTGGCTGTCAGCTCTTTGCAACAATCTCATGAGGACACTTTACTCAGGCCACATCAACTGCATAGGCTCAGTTTATTAGGAGACCACTAGCTGTCCACAGCCATCAGATCCTCGTTTTGGAGTTTCATCTTTTCTACTAAGTCTTAAGTTAAAATATTCTGCATTACCTTATACAGTGTTGTTCTGTTGATGAGTCTTTGATAGTAACTGTTTGTACAGGGTATAGTCAAAACCTTTTGAACTTCTATACTTTTACTAGTTACTTGTTTTTCAGTAAAGCAGCTGTTCTTATTTCTTCTGATGACGTTTAATGTCCATTGCCGAGTATCATTTCTATAAAACAAAGGTGTAAAGGTATTTTGTAATTACCAGAGACTTCACAAGTGTCATTTCTCTTCCTTTTAGTGACCAACCCATCCAATTGCTTTTCCTTCTTTTTGTTTAAAGAGACTTATTGGTATTCAAACCCTGCCCCACCTTCCCATGGTTCAGAGCAGTAAAAAATTTAGCAACTGTTCATGGGGTGGGATGAGGTTAAAAGATAAGTCTAAGTGCACTACATGTGCACATGTGGTACACACACATGCAGGTACACACACACACATGCAAGTATATATACACACATGCAGGTATACACACATGCAGGTATACACATGCAGGTACACACAAACATGAGGATAATACATACACACACGCAGGTACACATACAGATGCGAGTACACAAGCAGGCATACACATATTTAGGTACACACATGTAGGTACACACATACAGGTATACAGACGTGCATGTACACACACATAGGCATATCCATATGCAGGTATACTCACATGCAAGAATACACACATGCAAGTATACACATGCATGCAGGAATACATTCATATAGGTACACAGACATCTAGGTACACACACATGCAAGTATACACACTCACTGACATCCTGCTGCAAGACATGCATTATAGCTGTCACAGCAGCTAGTGTTTGGGCTGTTAATGACATTCGAGGATTGACAAGTTCAGAGATTCTTCACCCAGGATGAGAGAGTAGCCTTGGTTTCACAAGAAGACATCTTCAAAAAGTTCATGAAAATTCATTTTATAAAAACTATATATGGATTTCACAATAATTTAAACCCAAATAAACTTAATCTCTTTTTAAAGATTTATTTATTTACTTGAAAGTCAAAGTTACAGAGGGAGAGAGAAAAAGAGAAAGAACATCCACTTGCTGGTTCACTCCCCAAATGTCCTCAACAACCAGTGCTGGAAGTTTCTAGAAGCCATGAACAACTTCTGGGTCTCCCACATGAGTGACAGGGTCCCAAGCACTTGGGCCATCTTCTGCTGCCTTCCCAGGTACATTAGCAGGAGCTGGATCAGAAGCGGAGCAGCTGGATCTTGAGCTGGTGCCCATATGGGATACAGGTATCAGAGGTGGCAGCTCAACCCGCTATGCCGCGATGCTGGCCCCTGGACCCTTAACATCTTTTTAATGTCATTTTCTATGAACTCTCTGAAGTGCCCTCATATCTGCATCAGGTTTTATATTTCTCAGGGCAGTTTGCAACCCCCTCCTATTACTGTTGAGTAAATTGAAGTCCTGTTGTATTGGCACTGTAAATGCCTTACTGAACAAAAGTGAGTTTGAACAGAGTTTACAGTTATTGCTCTTTCTGAACAGAAATTAGTTATCTAGAAAAACAAAATAATTAAAAGTAATTTTAAAAGGAGCTCTTAAAAGGGAAAATATTTGCAATCTGATATTTCTTCACACTGCTAAAGACAGTAACAGGGGCTGCTAAGTTGTCCCATGTATCTCACAAATTTTCACCCATTTTGGCTCTTCCAATTCCCTTTTTAGTATGCAATAGGGTGAAGACAAGATCAGCACTTGCTGAGGTTCAGGTATGATAGCACTCGTGTGCAAGGGAGATGACTATTTTCCTTGTGTTCAAATGAGAAAACTAAATCTCAAGAGACATTAAACAGCTTGCCCAGGTTCACACACCTGTCTCAGGATGAGGGCCAGAATGCAAGCACACTTTTGTTTGATCCTTTGTCTTCACAATGCATGTGAGTGGTCTTTTCACCTTGGACATGAATTTATGCAAGATCAGCCACTCCTGGAGAGGGTGTTGAGCCGTCTCCATTACTAAAAGCAGTGGGCCAGAGGCCACGGAACATGAGAGCTACCTGAATGTGGTAAGGACTCGGAATTCCACCGGCAGCATCCTCTCCTCTATTGTGAAGATTTCCCAAGTTCAGCCTCACTGAGCCAGAGAGGGAGAGATTTCTGTATCTCTCTGGTCTTGTTGCTTACAAGCCATAAGGTGCATGCCTGTTTCCATTGTGTCAGATTTCTTTGTTCTCTACCTTGAACTTCTCAATCTTTCATGGTCAACAGATACTGAGAGCCTGAGTATCCCACCCCGCCCCCGGTACTCATCACTGCACTGGGAGTGCTGAACAATTAACAGCCTACACCAACTGTCAAAGAGTTAAAAGGCTGGCATGAAGCAGAGGCAACTGACCCAAAGCTGCAAGCACCAATTCCCTGTGACCAGCAAATCCACCCTGGGCATACACACAAGCACACATACATACATGCATGTACTTACACACACACATTCATGCATATAGTCATACACACATATGCACATAAACACACATGTACAGATCTTCAGTAAACAGAACACCACTTAGCAATCACACACACTATATAATTTTAGTTTATTTGTCCTTTTAGTGGAGGACAGTACAATGTTGCATGTATACAATGTGTGATGATTGATTATTTTAGTAAACATTTCCATCTCTTTACACAACTTCTAAATAATGTCTGATTAACACACAATAATGGTACATATTTCTGGGGTATGATGTGATAGTTCAAAATATGTATACAAGAAGTATTGATCAGATGAAGTTATTAACATTGCTGCCTTCAGACATATATTATATTTGAAGATGTTTGTATCCTCTGTGCTCTCAGACATCCACAACAAACAACTCCCATGTAGAATCCCATGTATTGTCACAGCCAAGGTCAAAGCTGCTTCTCCTATCATTGCTTAACTCTCCTATTACTCATCAGTCTCCAACACTTTTAAGGATTTATCACAAAGGCCAGTCTTAGCCACCTCTCCTCTCTGTCATCCCATCCCTCCATGCCTTACTGACTCCCAACTTCTGTCTGATGATTCCACTTTCTCTCCCTAACCCAGGCAGTGGACTCCCCATTTCATATCAGAGAGATGATGAATGTTTCCCGCCTCTATCATCTCCAAGAGATGGTTCGAGCTGATGGAATCTTCCCTTGGATGCTCTGTACAGAATGATCCACTCTTTTAAATCACGTTTTTATTTAACCATGATTTGGAAGTGGGGATATTCATGTTTTTTTATCTACCCCAATTATGAAAATTGATTCTCCCTTGGCTTCCTTAACTTCCTAACGTGTTAGCTCGTTGTAACTCATTTCTGTAATCTCCCTTTAAAGTTCATATGAAATAGGTGAATTTTTTGAGCTCTTTAATTTCTTTCTGACTCCTCAGAGATCCTACATATACAAACAAAAATGACCTCACTTTGTGCAAAACCACAAGGGTGCTATCAAGGTTTCAGTGTGACATCTCACTTTGGTTGATAGAGATCGGGACTCATTCTAGAGGCACTCCTGCAAGAAATCTGCGACATCTACAACTCACCACCACCACTCAGCTGACCCTGAGCTACTGTCTACAGGCCAGTCTCAACTCTATAAAATTACATATGAGGGCTATTCAAAGTTTCACTGAAAATGTTAACGGTGAAAAAAATGCAAGGACTTCAAAGCATTTGCACTAAAATAAATGTAGCATTTAATTCCACTTTTTTCAAAAAACTTTTAAAGTACCCTAGTATATACCCACAAAGAGAAGCAAGTTCAGTGATAGTGGCTGATGCATTTGGTTGGCTACTCCCATCTCATAGACGTTATGCTCCTCCATGATGAGGACCCTGGCAGGATCTAGGACCATGCCATGAACAGCTGGCCAAACACCTCCAATGCCCTCTTCATTTGCTGCCCCTGGCTATGAGTTTGTGAGTGGCTACCAAAAAAAGAGCTCCTTCACTACCATGGTGACCTGACTCCTGCTGATGTAGACAAGTATGTGTCTACACCAAACCCAATTGCCCCCTCTAGACTGAAGATACCACCCAGGAAGCAGACCCTGTGCCCCTCTCTCTACATGTTAATATCAGTGTGAGGTACCAGCTGTTGATTTCATTCAACGGGGACATCTTAAACAATAGGAGCAGCAAGTGGTGGAGTTGGAAGCATACCAGGGGATTCCAATTCAATCCCATCGAGGTGGCATGTACCAATGCCATCTCACTGTTCCAGGTGATCAGTTTCAGTTCACAGTTGGTCATGGTGGAGGGACTGGGAGTCAAAGGGAGCACATAGACAAGTCTAGTACCTGCTAACGCTAACCGATGGAGTAAATAAAGGGGAGAGTGATCCAACATGGGAAGTGAGATACTCAGCAGACTCATAGAATGGCAGATGTCCTAAATAGCACTCTGGCCTCAGAATCAGCCCTAAAGGCATTCGGAGCTGGCTGAAAAGCTCATGAGAGTATTTCAGGCATGGAAAGCCAAGACACTCTGGCAAAAGATCTCTGCGAGTGAGATCCCAGTGGAAAGAACAGGTCATCAAAGAAGGAGGTACCTTTCTCTGAAGGGAGGAGAGAACCTCCACTTTGACTATGACCTTGTCTAAACAAGATAAGAGTCGGAGAACTCAGAGGGCTTCCATAGCCTTGGAAACTCATGACTGGAGCATAGGGAGATTACTGATGCCATAGACAGGAGTGTCAATTGGTAAAGTCAACAACAGGAGTCACTGTGCACTTACTCCTCATGTAGGATCTCTATCCTTAATGTGCTGTACATTGAGATTTAATGCTATAACGAGTACTCAAACAATATATTTCACTTTGTGTTTCTATGGGGGTGCAAACTGTTGAAATCCTTACTTAATGCATACTAAACTGATCCTCTGTAAAAAGAAAAAAAAAAAAAGAAATTATCAATTCCCAACTTGACTCTCACTGGGATTAAACATGACAATAGGTCTGCTCTGATTTCATCATTATTTAAAAAAAAATCATCTATTATTTTTCACTTTATGTTTCTGTGTGGGAGCAAACTGTTGAAATCCATACTTGATGTATACTAAGCTGATCTTCTGTATATTAAGATAATCAAAAATGAATCTTGATGTGAATGGAAGGGGAGAGGGAGTGGGAAAGGGGAGGGTTGTGGGTGGGAGGGACGGTATGGGGGGGAAGCCATTGTAATCCATAAGTCGTACTTTGGAAATTTATATGCATTAAATAAAAGTTTAAAAAAAATACAGGAAAAAAAAATTAAAATCCAACTTTCATTTGATCTTTGCTTATCATTGACAAGAATCCCCAAGTGGAAATCCTGTGAGGGTATTCAACTTTCACTAGGGTTGCTAAGAAAATAAACATCAAAGATTATTTCATTTATTTTTTCAATAATGAAGTATTTCTTTCACGTAGTAGGGCAAATAAGAGAAGATCTATCCTCTCAGCTTACTATAGACTTGAGTTGCTGAACAAAGGACAAAGAGTACAATGACATAAAACAAAGAAAAAAGTACACTCACCCCATCTGGAAAATATAAGTTCCTCTGTCATCCAACTCAATTGGCCAAAACTCCAAAGAAAAATCATGCACAGAAATTCTGGGTGAACTGCTTGGGTTTAGCCCAACACGTCCATGTGACTCGCCACTTTTGTACCATCTTATAGTGCTTGGTTTGCTCTTTTGCTCAGATGAAGATAAGCAAAATTTCAAATAGAAGGGTTCCCCTTCCACTGCAGTAATGTGAGGTCGTGAAGTGCAAGTTTCTTCAAAAGATAAGCAAAGGAAAAAGGAAAAAATAAAAATGTACAGGTAATTCTTTTTCTTCACATAATGCATTATGTGAAGAAGCAAGGTTAGTTAAGAAATCCCTGCAAAATCTCAGCAACACGTTCCTGTACATTCTGTTATCTAAGCATCATTTTTTTTCCAAAACTAGACAGGATAAGACACTTTCAGAACATTGGTGAAGGCAAAACTCCCAACAGCTTTTCCCGAATAGGAAGGTGTCAAAACTTGACCCAGCATAGCTAGATGTTTGGTAAGCATTGTGTCATCCTTTAAAAGGAAATATTACACATCACAACTGGAAGAAAGAAAACTAGAGAAGTATTGTCATGCAAGTATTGTTTACTCCACACACCCCCAACTAAGGCTGCGTCTGCATGAAACAGAAGACAATAACCTAGAGACCTCGGTGTTTTTCATCTGTGTCATCAGATGTCCCTTCCAGCTTGTGTCCAGGCAGTCGACCTAACCATTTCCCAGGCAGGAGTGCAGCTAGCTAAAGTATGCATGAGTAGCTTATGGTCTTTGTATATTTGTCATTACTGTAAGGGATAATCCAGAACTGATTCATATAATCTCACTTCCCTTCTTTGAACTCTCTCTCCTCCTCCTCCTCCCTCCCTCTTTCTCAATTAACCCAGTTTCTGTAGCTTTGAAATTTTATCAGATCCTTTCATCTACACAGAGTAGGCGCTGAGTCTCCTCCTTTCACACTTCTGTGAGTTCAAAGGCATCCTCAGTGGGTTTTTCTCATAGCCCGTCCTCCTGTGGCTGAAGGATGTGTTTTACCTGTATCTGGAGAATAGGAATCTTTTATTTGGATGAAACATTTCCCTGAGGACATAAACAAAATGCCCTCCTTAGAGTTAGGGCTTCTTTCACAAAGCAACAGTCTGGTTTTAACTCAGTGTTCTTAACCACAACAAAAGGAGGAAGTGGCTCAAATGACAGTCGCTCTTTGAAACCATGAATGTCGAGTCCATCATAGGTACAAGAGCTAACGCTTAGTTGGTGCTAAACAATCTCTAGTCTACCTTTCAATACTTCAGCAGAGAAGTTGTGGATATTAGTTTTAACTGACATTCAAAACTATGGCAAGTCATTAGCAAATTATTTTTGGCTTTTAGAGATAATATAATAAAGTGCATGAATCACGGCCATCTGATCTTTTGTGTCTGGAATATTTTGTGTGTCATCATGTCTTTGACAGGCAACCATGCTGCTGCATACAGCAGTCATGTGTTCTTCTCTCATTGTTATGTAATATCCAAATGTGTTCCTTTGAGTATCTGACAACTTATCCATTCTATTAATTAATGAATTTTGGGCATTTGGGTTATTGGGCAAGTATCTGGTAGATATTTAAGTTATTTCCAGATTTCCATGTTTTGGTAATATATAAAAAAGTTTCCATAAGCATATACTGTGTATTTTGAGGGACTTAGACACTCATTTGTCTTTGGAGGTAATTATCATTTAAAGAACCTAGCATGAAATACATATTCTGCAGGGGTGGGTGGCTGGCAGTTGAAAGAGCAGCAAACTGCTGGCGCTGTGGCTCACTAGGCTAATTCTCCACCTGCGGTGCCGGCACACCGGGTTCTAGTCCCAGCCAGGGTGCCGGATTCTGTCCTGGTTGCCCCTCTTCCAGGCCAGCTCTCTGCTGTGGCCCCGGAAGGCAGTGGAGGATGGCCCAAGTGCTTGGGCCCTGCACCCCATGGGAGACCAGGAGAAGCACCTGGCTCCTGGCTTCGGATCAGCACGGTGCACCGGCCGCAGCGCACCGGGGGCAGTGCACCGGCCGCAGCGGCCATTGGAGGGTGAACTAACGGTAAAGGAAGACCTTTCTCTCTGCCTCTCTCTCACTGTCCACTCTGCCTGTCAAAAAATAAAAAAAAAAAAGAAAGAAAGAGCAGCAAATGGTGTTCGACATCTAATTTTACATTTTTAACACTGGAGGCTTTGTTAATTAACATAATGTTTGTTGGAAATGGTAGTACAACAATTGTAGATTTGTAGAATGAAGAATTTATACGCTGCAGAGTTATAGAATAAAGAATGAGTGAAATTCAATTTGTGTGGAGTCCAAAGTGCCACAATAGGCACTTCCTCTCTTCCATGAACCCAGCAGGGCCCAGAACCTGCATCCTTTAGAATGAAGCCTGTGTTTGGAATTGTCTTGACTTTGGAAAATGATAGGATGCCATCACCTAATTTCAAATGGATTAAATGAGCCTTATCCTAAGTGTAGTCTATTCACGAAAGGTGTGCTCCAAGCATCTAAAAGGACAAGGAGCTGGGATCTCAGTGATCATATACCACAGGCTGTAGAATTGCTTTCTGCATCTGAAACTTGTCCTGGTGTTACCTGGGAGTGAGGTTATCAGTGTGTGTCCACAGAGCCCCGGGCTCATGACACATTTTCCTGCACCTTGCTTTTCACTTAGTAGTTTTGAACAGATCATCCCACATCAAGAAGAGAGGGTCAACCTCACCTCTCTAACATGTGGGCAGTACAGCATCATATGAATCCGCACAATACACAAACCATTTAAGTAACTACACCCCTAGATTGGAGTTGTACTATTTGAAGACAACACAAAGTTAATTCTGCTTTCTCTTCAGCAGTAATTCTCTAAATAGTGGTGATGGGCCCATGTGTTTCTCTCTATAAATCAACAAAAATTACATCTGTGCTCCCCTGTTCTCTTCCAAAGTTAATGAAAAATCTTCCTATCCTATTATGGAACTCTTCTCCAAACAATGAGCATTCAGACTCCTTCCAATTTAGGGGGAAAAGGCATCAAGGCAGTCATTGTCAATACATTAAAACTGGTATCTGACACCTGCTGTGAAGTCTACCTGAGCTCCCCAGTCTAACCAGTCTTTCTGGTGTATCATTGATAACACTAACATGTGTTGAAGATCTGTAAGGGACTTTCCCACTCTCTGTTCTTATTATAACCTAAATAATGAGATGAAGCTTTGCCTTCTCCTTCAGGAAGGAGAATTTGCACAAAACTTTCTAAAAACCAACAGTGAAGGTGTCTGTTTGCTCCTCAATTTCATATAACACAAAGCAAATTTTCATTTCAGACAAATGTGATTTATTTCCTGGCACAGGTGTTTATATCTTGCTCTCTCTACATAAACTCAGAGAGCTAAATCTTTTCCAGTTGTACCATACATGTCTTCTCTATTTAATCCCACTCATGTGAAAGATTCATTCATCAAGTGATTAAGATATATATCATTTATATGAAAGGCAGAATTAAAAAAGAGAAGGAGAGGCAGAGAAGGAAAGAGAGAGATAGCTTCCCTCTTCTGGTTCACTCCTAAACTGACCACAACAGCTGGGTCTGGGCCAGGCTGAAGCCAGGAGCCAAGAACTCCGCCCTGGTCTCCCACATGGGTGGCAGGGTCCCACGACCTAGGACCATCTTTCACTGCCTTCCCAGGTAGATTAGCAGGGAACTGGATAGCAAGTGGAGCAGCTGAGACTTGAACTGGCACACCCATGTGGAATGCCAGCATTGCAAGTGGCAGCTCAACTTCCTGTGCCTCAACTCTATAAAGTAAAACTTTAAATCACCAACTTTAATAAATTCAGCACCAAGTAGCTTCCTCCAAAGAAAAACCAAAGCCTGATTTTCCTGCTAGATTCCTAATGGAAAATGTTGGTGAATAATTATTATCACTTACCTGCTGTGTGTACAAGTACAAGCACCAAAATTGTCAGGGGTAATTCTCTCTGACGCATGCTTGGGTAGGATTTAGCTTCAAATGATGTCTCTGGAAAACAGAATAACACTAGTACAGGCAGAGCTTTCTCACAAAAGCATACCCAACTTAAACAAGCTTCTGGAATACAGACTTTAAAAGCCAGCCCACAGGATTCTCCTATTCCTTATACTGGCATCAATTGTTAAAACTTTCAGCCATAAAGAATTGATAAAATTGGGCCAGTGCCACGGCTCACTAGGCTAATCCTCTGCCTTGCGGCGCCGGCACACTGGGTTCTAGTCCCGGTCAGGGTGCAGGATTCTGTCCCGGTTGCCCCTCTTCCAGGCCAGCCCTCTGCTATGGCCAGGGAGTGCAGTGGAGGATGGCCCAAGTGCTTGGGCCCTGCACCTCATGGGAGACCAGGAGAAGCACCTGGCTCCTGGCTCCGGATCAGCACGGTGCACCAGCTACAGCGCACCGGGGGCAGCACGCCGGCCGCAGCAGCCATTGGAGGGTGAACCAACGGCAAAGGAAGACCTTTCTCTCTGTATCTTTCTCTCACTGTCCACTCTGCCTGTCAAAAAAAAATAAATAAATAAAAGAATTGATAAAATTGATACAACAGTAAATTTCACCTTCCAGAGGAAATTTCTAATAATGTGATTTCCTAATACAGTGGAGCCTGATAAGTTTTAGGCCTGGCCTATTAAATTGTGTCTCCGAGGTCAAAGTCGAGGGCCATGATAATTCTAGAAAATCTCTTATTCTATCTATAAAAGCCTGTGATACACCAAGATATGCACAACAGTTCTGCCCATGTAGGAGTGTGTGTGTGTGTGTGTGCACATGCTCATCATGATTTGTAATTAGATCTTCATTTTTAGTTGAATTTTTAGAAATCCATGTTCTTTCTGCAGAGAAGGAGTTTTATAAGTCTAGGAAGTAAGTCTATTTTGCTCATGAGTATAACACCAAAATCCAGCACAACGCCTTGCACGTAGCAAGCACTATGATTTTGTCAATGAAAAACAGTTGTATACATTTGTGTAGGTGTGCACTCACATGTTCATATGTGTTTTTCTTAGTTTTATTTATGAATTATTTGAAAGGCAGAGAGAGAAGAAGAGAGAAGGAAAGAGCTCTTCCAACTGCTGCCTCACTCCTCAAATGTTTGCAATAGCAAGGACTGCGCCAGACTGAAGGCAGGAGCCAGGAATTACACCCAGGTTTCCTGTGTACCCACATAGGAATCCAAGAACTTGAACCAGCATCTGCTGCCTCTGAGGATGTGCAGTACCGGAAGCTGAATTAAAAGCGAAGGAGGGGTGGGGGCTGGGATAAGCTACTGCCTGCAGTGCCGGAATCCCTTATGGGTGCCCATTTGAGTCCTGGATGCTCCACTTCCAATCTAACCCCTGATAACATGCCTGGGAGAGCAGTGGAAGATGGCCCAAGTACATGGGCTCCTGCCACCCAAGAAGACCCAGGAGAAGCTTCTGGTTCCTGACATTAGCTTGGCCCCACCCTGGTTATTGTGGCCATTTGGGGAGTAAACCAGTGGGTGGAAGATTCTCTCTCGCTCTCTCTGTCTTTCTCTCTCTTTCTCTCTAACTCTGCCTTTCAAATAAATAAATCTTTTTTTAAAAAATGCAGAGGACCCAGAAATTAAAGTGGAACTCTCATTTGGAATGCAATGTCCCAAGAGGTCGCTTCCAGCTGAGCCATGATGCACAGCCACCACGTGTGTTTATTTTGGGGAAATGGAGAGACAAGTGCCAGTTTCCTGCACTTCAGCACCATCCTCCACATTGACCATGACCTTGGGGAACAGAGATCTGCATTGAAATTTTATCCCATTTCAACCCAAACTTTATCTTCGTAATTACAATTTCAGGGAGTAGAATGGAGGAAGGATTCTGCTCAGGATGTTACCAACCCCACGTTGTTTGGCTCACTTGCAAACAGAAATTAACAGGAGGCCAAGGTGCAACCCAGACAAGGTTTATTGGGGGCTTGTGCTGAAGCTCAAGAGAGACAGCATGGCCAGAAGAAGTTCTATGGACTGTCTCATGAGGAAAACTGGGCAGGGCTTTTCATTGGGTGGGGGGGAGGTGGTTCATTCTCAGCACACAGCACTTTGGTTTGCACCATACTCAGTGTCCTGCACAAGTATAGCTCCTTCTTGGCACAGGATCCACTCAAAATGGAGATGTTGCTCACTGCTGCCACCCCAGGACAGAACATTTTACAAACAATCCTACCTTCCTTGTTTACCGCACACCTCGCTGTCTCTGGACGGAGGGCACACAGAAGGATGGAAAGAGCTTGGTTTCAGGGATATGCACACTGGAGCTGGCAATTTGAGCCCTCAGAAGCTGTGCAACCTTGGGCAAGTTACTTAAAAGTCTCAGAGCCCACTTGCTCATTACCAACACAAAGATGAAAACAAGGCCTACTGCCCAAGTCACTGAGTGATAAAAGCATCGGATATTTATGAAAATTTCTGGGTACATGATAACCTCCCCAGCCAGGATAATTCCACTCTCACCAACTGCCACTCATCTCCCATCCTTGAAAAGAGATTACTCATGCCTGAATCCTAGAAAAAGTTCAGTGACTCAGCTTCCAAATCGGTTACGCTAGTCTTATGAATTACATCATCAAACATTTGATGGAATTTCCAGGAGATAATAATCCGTAATGTAAAGGCAATGAGGATATATGTATGGAAAGTACCAACTGCACATAATCAAATTAGAACAGCGTTAAGATGTAAAATGTCCCCCGTCCCTACACCCCAACACACATTTTGTTATTAATGCTGTCTATTCTTTTATGTTACTTATAGTGAAAACCCTTTTTTTATATCATTTCTCTGGATTACATAGCCTTAAAAGAGCATAATCTTTTTTTTTAATTTTCAAGATCTAAGGATGATGATACTATTCAGTAGTCTGATAAGTCAACTCTGAGTTTCAATATGAAACATGTTAAGATCCCAGTAGACCAAAAAACCCTCATATTTGTCTCTATGTATACAAAAATTTTAATGCATTTGTTAATTATCATGAGTGAATTTGAGATTTTATTAAATGATGAATTCATTTCCAAAAAAAAAGAAAGAGAACTCTTCTGAGTCGTCTCATAATCACCCTAACAAGTACAAATGGGAGACCAGGAGAAGTACCTGGCTCCTGCCTTCGGATCAGCGCGGTGTGCCAGCTGCAGCACGCCGGCCGCGGCGGCCATTGGAGGGTGAACCAACGGCAAAAGGAAGACCTTTCTCTCTGTCTCTCCCTCTCTCACTGTCCACTCTGCCTGTCAAAAAAAAAAATTAAAACAAATGAAGCAGATGTAAGAGAACATATATACTAAATTTCTTGCATGTAGAAATTTGGGGGTGTATTTCTTAGTGTTATGTGTGATGTTGATAACTTTGTGGTTTTGTTTTCTGTAACTTTTACATTTCTTTCTTTTTAAAGTCTTTTTCTGTTTTCTAAAGCAATATATGTCCAATGTAGAACACTTATAAAATGAAAGTGGAAAGAGGAAAATGATGTCAACATATATAGTATTTTAGTATGTTTTCTCTTACTTTTTCTATATGTTTTCATATAATTAAAATGGCAGTTAAATAATTCCATGCCCCTCCTTTCCACTTAATAGTAAATGATGAATATTTTCCTGTGTCACAAAACTCTCTGTAACACCGTCTTAATTGCCAGCTAACACTCCTTCATGTGGCTCTATTAGCATTTCCAAGATGAATTATATTATGAATTCCCCCAACAACCATTTTCATGTGTAGCAGGGAATGGCCCAGTTTGGGGGCCATGGCCTCTGGTGTCACCCTGGCTGAGTGATGAACTATTCATTCTACCCTTTACCAGCTGCACGATTTTGAGCTTTACCCTCTGAACATCAATTTCTTTTTCCACAGAAGGCTATAAGAGAACAAACTCCCAAAGCTGATGGGAAAGTTACTTTTGTGAAGTATCTGGTGAATAAATGCTGGCTATTATTATAATATGCTTACATTTCTATTACTATTATTTGCTTATATTTCTTTGGAACATGATAAATGAATACTGCCAAATCACATCCCAGAAGTGTTGCAATAATTCATACTCCCTCCCTCAGTAGTACAGAATAGCACCTTGCTACTGCACCCAGAAAATTAGCATTTTCATTTTCAAAGCCTAATCAGGTAAGCAAAAATTTTTAAATTATATATACACATTTGTATACAAATATATGTGTGTGTGTGTGTGTGTGTGAGAGAGAGAGAGAGAGAGAGAGAGAGGCAGAGGTAACTCCCATGTGTTGGTTAACTCCCCCCAAATGCCTAGAATGCAAGGCTTGCTGAAGACTGGAGCCAGGTACTACATCCAGGTCTCTCACATGTGTGGCAGGAACCCAATTACCTGAGCCACCACTGCTGTGGACTAGGATCTGCATCAACAGGAACCTGGAGTCAGGAGTCAAAGCTAGAAATGGAACTGATACACTTTGATCTGGCACTCGGGCATCTTAGCCAGCACCTTAACTACTAGATCAAACACCTGCCCCTCATTATTTTCAGAATCTGCATCTCTTTTGGTATAAATGAGGAACACACTAATCATTTATTAGTAACCATTTTATTTTCATGTTTTCATGGTTTTTTATTATTATTTTTTTTTTTTTTTGACAGGCAGAGTGGACAGTGAGAGAGACAGAGAGAAAGGTCTTCCCTTGCTGTTGGTTCACCCTCCAATTGCCACGGCGGCTGGCGCGCTGCGGCCGGCACACCACGCTGATCCAATGGCAGGAGCCAGGTGCTTCTCCTGGTCTCCCATGGGGTGCAGGACCCAAGCACTTGGGCCATCCTCCACTGAACTCTCTGGCCACAGCAGAGAGCTGGCCTGGAAGAGGGGCAACCGGGACAGAATCCGGAGCCCCGACCAGGACTAGACCCCGGTGTGCGGGCGCCGCTAGGTGGAGGATTAGTCTAGTGAGCCGCAGCGCCGGCCTTTATTTTCATGTTTATACACCATTTAATAATATCTTTGTCCGATTCTCGGATTTTTTTATTTTTAAATTTTTTGACAAACAGAGTAGACAGTGAGAGAGAGAGACAGAGAAAAAGGTCTTCCTTTTGCCGTTGGTTCACCCTCCAATGGCCACCACGGCTGGCGCGCTGTGGCCGGCGCACCGTGCTGATCCGAAGCCAGGTGCTTCTCCTGGTCTCCCAGGAGGGGCAACCGGGACAGAATCCGGAGCCCCGACCAGGACTAGAACCAGGTGTGCCACCGCCTCTAGGTGGAGGATTAGCCTAGTGAGCCACAGAGCTGGCCAATATTTAACTATTTCACCCACCAACAATTTATTTACTTGTTTGGACTGAAGATAGAATCTAATTAAACTTACTTTTCCCAAATAGTTACTAAATTCTTTTCTACTCTTAAGTACATAGTCTTGTCTTTCCTTTAAAATTTGTTGGTACCAATTCCTCACGTACAGGTCCTCCCTGAGCACTCTATGGAAAATGTAGCAGAGCTGCTAGCCCAAGTGCAAATACACACACACACACACACACCCCTTTCCTCTTCACCTAGCTTCGTTCATCTGTTCATAGCACTTATAACTAATTGACATATTTCCACTTCTTATCTACTTGTTGGTTTATTATTTGCTGGAAACTGATACTCAAGAAAGAGAAACAGCCAAGCTAGTTTCTTTCTTTCTTTTCTTTCTTTCTTTCTTTCTTTCTTTCTTTCTTTCTTTTTTTTTTTTTTTTTTTTGGTGGGGGGAGGCAGAGTTAGACAGTGAGAGAGAGAGAGAGACAGAGAGAAAGCTCTTCCTTCCGTTGGTTCACCCCCAAAATGGACGCTACGCAGGCACGCTGCACTGATCCGAAGCCAGGAGCCAGGTGCTTCCTCCTGGTCTCCCATGTGGGTGCAGGGCCCAAGCACTTGGGCCATCCTCCACTGCCTTCCCGGGGCACAGCAGAGAGCTGGACTGGAAGAGGAGCAAGCGGGACAGAATCCGGCGCCCCAACCGGGACTAGAAACCGGGGTGCCGGCACCTCAGGCGGAGGATTAGCCTAGTGAGCCATGGCGCCGGCCCCAAGCTAGTTTCACAAATGGTCCAGCCCAGATTACAGCTGATGTCATCAACTGGCACCACAAATCAATGTAAATTGCCTAGATACAAATCGTACCATTAGCAAAACATGCAATTGCGCACCTCCTCAGATAAACTGATTTGATGGAAATCACAACAGCAGCAAATTTGAGTAATGTAAATGTATTCTTTACAGCATCGCATGCAGTCTATGAAACGATAGAAAATTATCTCTCCCACCCGTGCACGTGCACACGTGCACACACACTTCCACATTAAGGATCAAAGAATCTGTGGGATTTGGCTTTCCAACTGCCGGACCAGGAAAGTCACTGCTACTTCATGGCCTTGGTCACAGAAGCATCTGTCACTGTCATCCTCATGATTTTCCCAAATCCCACCCTGCATGTGCTTATTCTGCCACCCGACACCCTCCCCTCTGGCCCTGCCCCAGGCTCCTGCAGTCCTTCCAATGTGGTTGCCTGGTTTCTGCTCTTCAACTGCTGCTGCCCAGGCAGGGCAGAACTGTCCAAGCCTGCACCACAAGGTGTCTCCACCACTCCAGAACCAGCCCCTGCTTCCCAGCCCAGCACCACGCATTGCCAAACCAGAAAACTCTGCCTTTATCTGTGCTCAGCGACACCAGGCATGCTGTCCCCAGCACATGTACAGACCCAGTTCCCAAGTGCACCCTTCCCAGCTCATCCAAGGACCTTGGGTTGAGAGGCCTGCCCAGTTCCCAGCGCTGCGTAAGCCACAGCAAGTGTTTCCGGATGCCCTGAGACCGGAGCAGGAGAAAGATGTGACACTGCCACAGTAGCTTCAGACCCCTATCTCTGGTAGGTGTGTCTGGTATGTGTGATACAGGGGGGCATTTTAACTTATGGAAGACCTCAGATCAAAGACAAAGACCTTGGGCTGGGGAAAATCCAGGTGCCGATCTGGGATCTAGTCCTCGCAAGCTAGAAGCCCTGGGGTGAATAAAAATCGGTGATACAGGTGAGTTAGTCCTTCTCCCTTTTATTAAGCTTGAATCAAGTACCTACTTTGATTAAAAGAATATAAGCTTTCTACATAGTGTGGGACACACAGTAAGTGCTTAATAAATGATCACTATTGTCATTTATCCCAGCTGTTCCCACCTTTCCAGAAAAAAACTGGGAAAAGTTAATGATGCTTTCCTGTCAATTGCTCCTCTGTATTCACGCGCACACACACACACACACACAGGTATACATATTTATCTTTTTTTTTTCACGATCCCTGCTCCTGAGGCTGCGTGGTCCCAGGCTCCTCGCAGTGAGCAGGGGGCTCGAATGGTCTCAGAGCTTGTCCTTACCTTTCGAGGGGCGTCCCCGAGGCTGGGGCAGGGATGGTCGTCCCTTGCTGCACACCAGGTCGCGGCTACGGGGAGGCAGAGCTGAGAAAGCAGGTGATAAGGGGAGATCCCGGCCTCAGACAGCTGTGAAATAGGGCAGGAAGGAAGGGAGCCGCGAGGGCGGGGGAGTGGGCAGAGGGGTGCGATTAAAGCGATAAGGCGAGGGTTTGCAAAAAGCCAAGGCACAGAAGAATCTGGCTACTGCAGGCTGCAGGTGGGCGCTGTTCCCCGCCGGGGATGGAGTCTCGCGATGCGGGGTACCGGGGTGCTCCCAGTCGGGAGTGTTCCAGAGTGCGAGGTGCGCCGTGCGCTCCTGCCCGCGAGCCCGGCCCGAGCACCGGTTCCTCCACCCGAGGCCCCGCCCGCCTGCTCCCGAGTCGCAGGATCGCGGGGGCGCTGGGCCGCGGCTGGAAAACCCCACCCCTCGTCCCTACGCTGTCGGGACCTTCCGCCCCAGCTGCAAGACGGGGCGCTGGCCCCCTGAACCCCCGGCGGCGGCCGTGTGACCTGCAGGACCTGGAAGTGGCGCTTGGGAGCACGAAGGCTGTAGCGCGCACCCTTCAGGCCAGCGGGCGCCAGGAACGCGAGCACTGAGACCGGGGGTGACACCTGCGCCCCGCCGACCCGGGAAAGGGTTGGGGTGGGACGAGCAAGCCAATCTAGGGACACAGATTAACCCAGAAGAAGGGCACCTGTGGATCCCGCGGACAACCTTCTAGAAACGTAGTTTCAATCAGGATTCTGAAAGGTATCCACTGACAGTTGGGTCAAGACTGCAGTTCCATGTTCTCTTGCCCATTAAATGCAGCAGCCATACGCTATGGGGAACAGCTCCGCGCCCTTGGCAAGCGTGAGGTCCCAACAGGACTCCCTGGGGACACTCATGTTCTACTGCTGGGCTCCTGGCGTCCCACTATGTCGCCTCCTTCAAGGGGACTGACCGGATCAGCCCCGATGTGTAAATTAATTCTATCTTGCCAACATTTCATGAAAAGTAGTAACAACCAAAGTTAACTCGAAGTACATTTTTGAGAGATGTTATATATACTGATAGGCCATTGGAGAATTATACTAATTAAGAGGATTTAAATTGTGTCCTCCATAACACAGCCATGAGATGGAGCATAAGTATTTTCTAAATGTTCAGAAATTTTTCAATGACATGCCAAATGTTTCTATTATGATGTTAGGTAGAAAAAAATGAAAAATTTCATACAGCATAATCTCATTTATACAAACAGCATATGTAACTATAAATTAAAATGTTTTGAAATAGAAGAAAATTTACCAACTTAATCTTAAGGTCATGGATATTTGAATGATTTTTTTTAATTGTGCTTTTTTACTTTCAGGTCTTCTATAATATGCTTCTGTCACTTTAATACTGGGAGAATACTATTACTAAAGTGAATAACAATGAAAGAAAATCTAGAATTTGAAAAAACTCATAAAGGCAACTGAAATAAGATAGTTAAATAAGGTCAGCAGCATTGAGATGATAAAACTGAGCATTCAATCATACAAAATAAAATAAAATGTTGGAAACAAGATTTATACCAATAATTTGCCCAATGGGCTCAGAATACTCTTTAAAACAATATTTATTTATTTTGAAAGTCAGAGTTACAGAGAGTGACGGAGAGACTGTGAGAGATCCATCTGCTGGTTCACTCCCCAGATGGCCACAAAGGCTAGCACTGTGCCAGGCTGAAGCCAGGGGCCAGGAATTTCTTCTGGGTCTCCCACCTGGATGGCAGGGGTCCAAATACTTGGGCCACTTTCTGTTGGCTTTCCCAGGCCATTCAGCAGGGAGCTGAATGGGAAGTGGAGTAGCCAGGACGCAAACCATGGGATATTAGGGTATTGCAACCCCGGCCCCCAGAATGCTCTTCAAGATGACATGACAATCTAACTGTAAAACATTTAGCTTCCAAGACACTGTGGCAAAAAAGAAAGACCTAAATGAAAGATCTCTGTGAGTGAGATCCCAGCGGAAACAACGGACCATTAAAGAAGGAGGTATCTTTCTCTGAAGGGAGAAGAGAACTTCCACTTTGACTATGTCCCTGTCTAAATAAGATCGGAGTTGGTGAACTCAAGAGGCTTCCATAGCCTTGGCAGCTCATGACAAGAGCCTTGGGCGATTACTGACATCATAAAGAAGAGTGTCAATTATTAAATCAACAACAGGAGTCACTGTGCACTTACTCCCCATGTTGGATCTCTGTCCTTCATGTGTTGTACTATGTGAATTAACGGTATAACTAGTACTCAAACAGTACTATACACTTTGTGTATCTGTGCGGGTGCAAACTGTTAAAATCTTTACAGTATATACTAAATTGATCTTCTGTATATAAAGATAATTGAAATAAAAAAAAACATTTCGCTTCATGTTGAGAAAGAGCAGGGTGAAGGATTGAGGGTACACATTTCTGGGCCTTGTGCATCCAGCCAGATTGGGGCAAATAAAGTAAACTTACGTGATGAAACCCTAACTCAACCTTGGGTCCCCTTGACGCTCCTACTCCTCAGACCTCAGGTCCCTGAATGTGATACAGAGCACAATTCAGCAAGGAGGAACCAGGAGATCTCTCATTGTTTTAAGTTTATTTATTTACTTTAAAAGCAGAGCAACACAGACTGAGATACAAACTCGGATGCATTCGTCCATAAAACCAAGCGCTGTTGCCCTCCCAGGAAGCCACACTGGGAGTCTATCTGGGCAGTTTGTGCGGCACAGGCATTTGGTATCTCACGTGCTTCCAGAACTTGGACTTCAGGGACCATTTGTTGGCAACATTGTCTTCCCTCCACTTGATGGTGCCCTGCACTTCCATCAGGTGCTTGAGAGAATCCTGCAGAGCGTCTGGCTCGCTCAGAGCCTCCATCTCAATCAGGATCGCCTTGGAGTCATTCTGGATGAGGGTGCTGTGCAGGGCGATCTCCTGCTCGTAGGCAAACTCTTTGCTGTGCACGATGACAGGAGACAGGATGAAAATGTGCCGCCTGCTCTTGCATATGCTGGATTCCACCGCGGTGACCGCATCTAGTCATTCAAGAAAATGGATAAAGATTTCCTGTCATTGTTTTTTTTAAAGTCTAATGCTTTGATCATGTGTTATTGTTGGGGTTGGCTCTGTGGCACAGAAGGTTAAGCCTCTGCCTGCAGTGCTGGCATCCCATACAGGCACCAGTTGGATTCCCGGCTGCTCTACTTCTGATCCAGCTCCCTGCTAATGTGCCTGGGAGAGCAGTGGAGAATGACCCAAGTATGGGCCCCTGTACCCATGTGGGAGACCCAGAAGAAGCTCCAGGCTCCTGACTTTGGATCGGCCCAGCTTCGGCAGTTGCAGTTGTTCAGGGAATAAATTAGTGGATGGAAGATTCTCTCTCTCTCTCTCTCTCTCCTCCTCCTCCTCCTCCTCCTCTCTTTCCCTGTAACTCTGCCTCTCAAATGCATAAATAAATCTTTGTTTAAACATAAGTGCTATTGTTATACTAGGAATATATACATATAGATTATAGATAATATAAGCAAGTTATATTGGTAAACTCTTTTATGAGATTCTGACACTGACCAATTCTCTGATTCAGAATGGTAGACATGTACATGGAGAAAGGACTTGATTTGTTTTTCCTCCCTTCATCACGAGAATATCAGCCTCAGTACCCTCTTTTCCCCACATAGGTCAGTCCTAAGACAGACAGTCCAGCTCAAAGGAGGGTAGAGGTATTTAGGCTACCGTTTCATGGAAGACTTAGAATTCAAGTTCACAGGGATGTATCTTCCTAGAATATTATCTTTGTAGAATATTTGCTTTCTTACATTAAAAGGCCTTGCTACTCAAAAGAATACTAATCCAGGAAGCCTTACCCTTCTCAACTGACCAAGTCTCTAGGGAATTCTTAGATTATCTATCTATCTATCTATCTATCTATCATCTAACTCTATGTCTTCCACCCTCCCTCTCAAATAAGTAAATTTTAGGTTTATGCTCATGATGTCCTGGCCCCATTCACATGCCAAAACCTTCCTGATCTCTGGGGAATTAGAGAAAAGTTCACAAGCAGTCAAAGGTATTTGATGTAAATATATGTAGGAAAGAGAACAACAACTACTGAAATTACTAGCAAACTGACCAGACACATGAAATGGGCTAGGACTATTAAAGAAATAGAAGCCACAAGTCCACCTGTTCTGTTGCGAATACGAATTGGCAAGTGTTTCACTTACATGAATAAAGACACAAAATCCTCTAAAATGTTTCAGCCAATACCTCTGTATATCAGAGCAAAATTCTCCATTTTTAAGTCGGCTTTCAGACCTTCCCAAGGGAATTAAGAAGACAGTCAATTATCCTGATGGAGAGCACAGGAAATAAAGTTGGCCATTCAGCAATGTAGCTAAATGCATAGAGCGAAGGACTGCATGTCACTGACCAAGGACAATGATGACGTGAGAACAGCAAAGGACAAGTGTCTACTTTAAGATCTTTGGTCTGAAGGCCTTTCGTAGTAAGTGCAGTTCCTTATCTGCTGTAGGGCTCGGTTCACCTAGACATGAATTTCTGTCGCTGGGGTATGTTGGGAGCTTTACCTTCTCCAGGTAGCAGATCTCTCCCATAAATGCATAATTTATATCCACACTTATCTTCAAGGACATTGGGCATAATCTGATGAACAAAATATTCCACAGAACTGATCTCCTCTGAACTCTGTTGGTAATCGTGTGGATATATAACATAAGCATCATAGAGCTTTCCATCTGAAAATGAAAACAAGATGTACAACTCCATTACTTGATTTTAAAAATTCTCACTTGAGGCCTAATAGATATTCCTTGTCAAGCTTTATGGTTGAAGTGAAGGTATCTCATCTCCCAGAATATTCTAGAATCAAGGGATGATGACAACCATCCATTGCCACAAAACATGATCAGAAGGTAACACTCTCAGTCCCAAAGTTTTCTTCCTTTTCGTTCTGTCAAGCTGAACAATAGTAAGCAAGAGCCTGTCCAGTACAGTTCCAGCTATATTGTTCAGCTTGGTTACCCCTCTATCAGTCTGTGTTTACAGTAGACAGGGGCCTTCTTCTAGGCTCAACAGGCGTCAGTTTCATCTTCCACTTTCCCCACACAGTAGTTCCTCCCTTGTCTGTAGGGGATGCATTCCAAGACCCTCAGGGATGCCCAAAACTGTTCCAAACCCTGTATTTATTATGTTTTTTCCCTATCCATACATACAAATTAGGCACAGTAAGAGATTAACAACAATAACAGTAGTGTAGAACAGTTATAAAAATAGATGGCAATAACCTTCCCATCATCACTATTCACATGTTTGGGGACCATTATTGAGTAAAATAGAGGTTACATGAACACAGCAAGCATTGCAATATCACCATATTCAGTCTGAGAACTGAGACAGCACCAAAGTGACTGTAGTGTCCATAGCACAGATATGCCACACACAGGGGTGATTCCCTTCACAGGCAGGCACTATTTTGGAAATTCTCCATTAATAATTTGAGATTGGGGGCCAGAACTGTGGCAAAGCAGGTAGAGCCACCACCTGTAGTGCCAGCATCCCATATGGGAGCCGGTTCGAGTCCCAGCTTCTTGTCTTCCAATCCAGCTCTCTGCTATGGCCTGGGGAAGCAGTAGAAGATGGCCTGAGTCCTTGGGCCCCTGCACCCACGTGGGAGACCTGGAAGAAGCTTTTGGCTCCTGGCTTCGGATAGACACAGCTCCGGTCATTGCAGCCAATTGGGAAGTGAACCCGAAGATGGAAGACCTCTCTCTCTCTCTCTCTCTCTCTCTCTCTCTCTCTCTCTCTCTCTTCATCTCTCTCTCTCTCTTTCTCCCTCTCTCTCTACCTCTCCTTCTCTCTGTGTGTAACTCTGACTTTCAAATAATTGAATCTTTAAAAATATAATAGTTTGAGACTGCAGATGAACACAGGCAACTGAAACTGAAAAGCAAATCTATGGGTAAGGGGTAAGGCAGGGTCCCTGAACTTCCCCTGAGAAAGTGACAATGCTAAAGGTTGAAACTGTCAAGGGGTAGAATTTCTTAAGGGGTCTCTATTTTCCACACATCAGTCACAAATTAACTATATGGAAAAATCTAACATACAACTGCCTTGCAATTAACGTTTTAATTAACGTTTTAATTCATGAATTTGTATGCACAGATGCAAAGGTCTGGTCCTGGGTTTCAGGTAAATTGCACCTGCATTCTGATGAACCTGTCTAATCTGTTCACATCTGGAAGGCAGGAGAAATTTTATTACTGTGCTTAATTTAATAAAGTTTTTCCAAAACAGTTAAGCTTTTCTGGGCTTGGGGCAGAATATCTTCTTGAAGATTTAGATGGCATGATATCCCAATGGGAAGAAAATCTGAGTTATTGAGATGAATCCCAAGACCATGAGGAGCTACACAGCAGGGTGGAAAATGACCTCTAAATAGACTCAAAAAACCAATCGTGGAGCCGGCGCTGTGGCATAGTGGGTAAGGCTGCCGCCTGCAGTGCCAATATCCCATATGGGCACCAGTTCAGGCCCCGGCTGCTCCGCTTACAATCCAGCTCTCTGCTATAGCCTGGGAAAGCGGTGGAAGATGGCCCAAGTCCTTGGGCCCCTGCACCCATGTGGAAGACCTGGAAGAAACTTCTGGCTTCAGGTCGGCACGGCTCCAGCCTTTGTTGCCAACTGAGGAGTGAACCAGTGGATGGAAGACCTCCCTCCCTCTCTTTCTCTGCTTCTCCTTCTCTCTCTGTATAACTCTGACTTTCAGGTAAATAGATAATCTTAAAAAAAATGGAATCTAGATTTAACCTCATAGCTGTTATGCTGTTGAGTAACTGACACTCATTAATGGGACCTTTTCTTTAGAAGAAAAGTTTGAATCTTGCCACTTACCATTCCTAGTTTTGTAAGGTCGAACTGTGTCTCTCCAGAGCAGAATCACCTCAATCCAGAACACTTTTAGGATGATCACCAAGACAGTGATTAACACTAACAATATACTACCTCCAGCAACTAGGTGGTAGGTGCTCTGATAATTAACTATTCAAAAGATAAGGGAAGGAGCAGAAAAATGAGCATTGTTATTACTAAACCAAGACAAAATGAACAAATACAAGGATATCAGCCCCACACTGGGATTGGAAAAACTCATCCAAAAGATACCCACATGGAATTTTTGTGGTTTCTTTAAGAATCAGTAAATTAACATTTATTGAACCCCTACTCTGTACAAGGCACCAGGCGAGGCATGATAGGGGATTCTCAGGGACAAACGCAACAGAGACACATGTGAATTTAAGCTAAGGTGGGATATAAAAGCATAATTACAGCTGGCAGAGAAGTTTAAAAGGAGAACTCACTCCATGCTGGACTGAGCACAGAAGCCTTCCTGCAGGAAGAGGTCCCTAAGGTATGGCTGGGTTTTACAAAAGTGCATCCTCCTCTTGACTGTGGACCCAAGTGCAGAGATAGGAGTGTGTTTTCTAAGAAACTGGAGTAACTCAGTTTGGGCAAGGTATGAAGAGACGTGTGAGTAAGGGTTGGCCTCTAGCCAAGGTTTGAACTCCAGCTAAGGCATTTTGCCTTATTCTAAAGGTTATGAGAGCCATGGGGGAGGGGGCTGGTGCAGTGGCATAGCAGGTATAGCCACCACCTGCCATGCCGGCATCCCATGTGGGCGCCAGTTCAAGTCCAGGCTGCTCTACTATCCAGGGCTCTGCTAGGCCTGGGAAAGCAGTGGAAGGCGATCCAAGTCCTTGGGTCCCTGCACCCACGTGGGAGACCTGGAAGAAGCTCCTGGTTCCTGGCTTCAGGTCAGCCCAGCTCTGGCCATTGAAGCAATTTGGGGGCGTGAACTGGTGGATGGAAGATATCTCTCCCTCTCTCTCTCTCTCTTTCTCTCTGCCTCTGCCTCTCTGTAACTCTGCCTTTCAAATAAATAAATAAATCTTAAAAAAAAAAAAAAAAGAACCATGGGAGAATAGGGAATAACAACAAACGTGGTTTTCACCTAGTTAGTTTGATCATAGCTCAAGGCATATTAGGATGGGGTTCAGTATCTGAGATGCGAGATAAGGAGGATTCTAATGCATGTAATACTGAGAAAGAATGGACAAGGCTCTTGCTGGGGTCATTAAAAGGACTGACTCAACAGATCCAGGGACTTATTGCTTCGGAAGGGGTGATAATGTAGGAAGCAAAGAAAGAGCAAGAGCCACAGAAGTCTCTATATTTGATGGGAAAAAAATCAAATGATTGGGTTCTAGGTCTTGTATATGTCTCTTGCTTTTCTTATAGTGACCATTGTTTAGCCATCTCTGAACTTTATTGCAGGTCTCCTTGCTTCACAAAATGCTCATCTACCTGTTCCCATCTTAAAGGACTTGCAACAGATTTGTGCTAGTTGAACTGTGCTTCTTTATGGTGTCTTAGGTGTTTCAGGTTTAGATCCCTCTTTAGAATTAACTGTCTTGTCTTAGAAATAGCCTCAATTAAAGACAAATGTGAGAAGAATCTCAAATGAGAATTAGTTACATGGTTCTTTTTCATTTGCATCTTAATTCTTAATACTTGGGCTCCCAGTTTTCACAGAAAATCACAGGCTCATATTTGCGAATTCCTCCAGCATTTCTGGTAGTTCATTGGTTCTCTGAGTGTCCTACGTTATGAGATCAAGAACGATTAAGTGATCCAAAGATGGGAGGAAATCCGAAAATTGATGAAGAACTTACTGTCTATACTATCATCAGTTTAAATTATAAAAACTAAATAAAGCATTTCAATAAAATTCTTTACTAGATTATCCTAAAAGTCTTATCTGGGGTGATCATTTGGTTCAGAGGTTAAGACACCCCTTGGGATGCCTGCATTCCACTTCAAAGCATCTGGGTTTCAGCTCTGGCTCCATTCCGGATCCCAGCTTCCTACTAATGAGTACACTGGAAGGCAACACATGATGAGTCAAGTAGTTGGGTCTCTGTGGGAGAACCAGATGGGAAGCCTGTCTCCTAACTTCAGTCTGTGCAGGCACTTGGAGAGGGAATCAGCAAGTGGGAACTCTTCCGTTTGTCTGTCCCTGTCTCTCTGACTTTCTGTCTCTCTGTTTTTCAAATAAATAATAATAATAGGCTGGCACTGTGGCGTAGCAGATAAAGACACCGCCTAGCAGTTCCAGCATACCATATGGGTACCAGTTCAAGTCCCAGCTGCTCCACTTCCCATCCAGCTCTCTGCTATGACCTGGGAAAGCAGTGGAAGATGCTCCAAGTCCTGGGGCCCCTCCACTGGCAAGGGAGACCCAGAGGAAGCTCCTGGCTCCCGGCTTCAGATCGGCCCAGCTCTGGTCATTGCAGCCAACTACGGAGTGAACCTGCGGACAGAAGGCACATCTCTCTCTTTCTCTCTTCTCTCTCTCTCTCTCTCCCCCTCTCCTTCTCTCTGTGGGTAACTCTGACTTTCAAATAAATAAATATTTAAAATAATAACAATAAATCTTTTATTGTATTTTATTTTTGACAGGCAGAGTGGACAGTGAGAGAGAGACAGAGAGAAAGGTCTTCCTTTTTGCTGTTGGTTCACCCTCCAATGGCCACCGCAGCTGGCGCGCTGCAGCTGGCGCGTCGTGCTGATCCGAAGGCAGGAGCCAGGTGCTTCTCCTGGTCTCCCATGCAGGTGCACGGCCCAAGCACTTGGGCCATCCTCCACTGCACTCCCGGGCCACAGCAGAGAGCTGGACTGGAAGAGGGGCAACCGGGACAGAATCCGGCGCCCTGACCGGGACTAGAACCTGGTGTGCCGGGGCCACAAAGCAGAGGATTAGCCTATTGAGCCGCGGCGCCGGCCATAAAATAATAATAATAAATCTTAAAAGTAAGATAAATTAAAATAAAGCCCTGTGTAGGTCCACACTGGAACATACATTTCTTACGGGGATTGTTGGGAAGTAGCTATGCTAGTGGCCGGCCATTTTCAGCTGAAGAAAATAAGTGGATCCAAGATGTCAAAGGAAGTTGAATTTCGATATCTTCCCAGGTGTTGTTGATTTTATAAATGTGTTGGTATTATTTGTGTGCGATGACTACACACTAAACATACCCTGTATGTGTTTGCAAACAAGAAAACGTTCAAATGTTGGCTCTGTAACTACACAGTACTTCAGTCATTCAACTCTCTTTAACTTCATTTCTTCACTTATAAAATCAGATGAGTATAACAGTCTCTCTTTCATGGATTATTGAGAAATGAGTAATTAAGTGGAAAATAATCAGACAGGGCATGGTATGTAGGAAACAATGTATAAACGTTTACTATTAGTAAAGTCAGCATCAAATATTTACTTGATAAAATGTGGACATAGCTTTCTAAGATTCTGCTTCTTAAATTCAAGAAAAGTTATAATTTTAGAAATGAAGGAACTCACTGTGACAATTCAACAGCAGTAATTGTTTAATTTATACAGTTGTTTTAACAGAGTGTGAACAGGTTGAACTTGAACAACAACAACAAAAGAGGTGAAACACAAATAAATGGGAAGGACCAATATCACGAAATACATGTAACATGGAAATACACAGTTAATTCCAATACGCAGGCAACCAGGGAACATTTATAAGTGATAACGTAAATAAAACTTTGGGATAAGGACACAAAATTGGTTCCTGGCCATGAATAAGGACAATGGCTTCCCCTTCCCTGTCGTATCCACTATGCCCACCACCACCCCAAAGGTAGCCCTGATGCAACATCCATGGCCATCTGGGGTGACTCATTTAGCACTGCCAGAAACCTGCTGGAGGCACTTAAAGTTATCCACATGAGTCATGACTCTGTGTGTTTTATAAACCAAAATTACAAACCAGAGGTTCACGTTGAAATTGAAACAAGAAAAATGCCGAGTAGCACCTCAGGCAGAGATCTTCCCCGACCCTACCAAACTGCGGATCTGCTTTTCTTAACCTCTCAGTCCTTGATCACCATTCTGTGCCTCACTGTGTTCATGCAAATGAAGCTGGGCCCTGCCTCACATATGGATAGGAACTCAGAGTATCCTTTTTGGCATCTTGGTAAGCATGTGGAATAATTTCTACAGAGTGGTGAGTGGTGCAGCCACTAAAGGAGCAATGAGTGTGAAACAACAACAAAAAATGCCATCCCTCTCCACCCTTGTAGATGTGATCACATGCTTCATATACCAAACAGGGTGACATTGCCTGGAAATGCAAAGAACAAGCCAGGAAATGGACAAGGACTGAGGAACAAAATACTGGAAAAACTGCTTTCCACAACAACACTGTCTGCAGAGATACAGCCAGGGATGGGGGAGAGACAGACTGTCCTTGCAGGGACCCTTGTGTAAGTGTGGTGATAATAAAAATCACAGTGACAGGCAGACGGTCTTATTGTTGTTTTTGAACCCGGTATAGACAATAAATCCCATTATTGCCTACACCAGGAAAGGAATGACTCGCTCCACTCTGTTTCTCTTGTGTGTGATATTTTTGATTATTGGTGAAAGAGAATGCACACTTTAAAAGACCACACAGAACATCCGAAATGGATTCATTGAAGTGTATCGGTTTCATATTTTTTGATTGAATTGTGTCAAATTAATGATGTCATTAAAAGCATGCTAAATTCACATGAAACCATATAGAAGCTTTTGAATTTATGTGGAAAGGCATTAAATTTATGAAGCATAAGCACTGAATAGTATAATTAAGCCTTATACTTGGAGAAGTGGATCAAAACAGTTCTCATTAATAACGTTGTGGTGTGTTCATTTATTCACTCAACAAGTATTGAGCACAGGCTAGGAAAGGCACTGAAGTACACGCTGATGACACAAATGTGTGTAATTTGCTATCCCTGCCCTCAAGGAGTGTGCAGCCTTTTTGGACCGATTGCTGGATGGATTTTGCAAGGCAATGTGATGGCCTAACAGACAGGATGCTGCAGCTGTATTTACCCCAAACTAGCGCTCAAAGAAGGCTCCCCAGAAAAGGTGGATCCTGAAATGTTGACTAACATACTGTCAGCAACGGGCTGAGCTACCAGACTTCTGAGTTCCCTCTAAGTGGAATGATTTGTAACAGTGAACGGCGACAGTGCATGTCTTCTTATAAGGAAGCAGCTAAGATGTTCTGAAATGGGCAGTGGTTAAGTATGTCCCTTTTTTGTCCACTTTACGGTCTTCACCAAGGAAGTATGCTTTCATTATAGCAATATATATATATAATATACATATATAAATACATAAAAGGAAATATGCTTATAATGTGTCTTGTCTTAAAAGTTATACAAGGGAACAGAAGAACATATTTATTTTCCTACTGTTATGTTTTATTTCACATACAGTGAACAGGGAGCTAGTGAGGTTAGAAAGTAGGAGAATGACTCAGGAGGCAGTGGATTGTTGAAGAGAAAGCCATAGAGGAAGAGGAGGAGAGACAAGAGGAAGAGGAGGGAGAGAGAGAAGAAAAGGAAGTCAAATAGTAGAGAAGCAAACAAAAAAATCAGGGAAGAGCACATTGCAAATAATTGGTGTCCTCATGAAGAGAAGTGCACTTCCATTGTCTTCATGGGTCCCTTGGAACTAAACGCCAGCATGGGTCATCTAAGAAAATGATTTCAGCTTACAAGTGTCACAGCACGCTCCAGCGACCCACGCCTGAGAAACATTTCTTACTTGGCTTTTTCCGACTTAGTCTCGTGGTGTGCCTTTTCATAACATAATGATTCAGGGCCACACAGTCGAACTGCAGAGATAAATCCGTCTCATTCACGTCAGTTATCCTTAAGAGTTTGTGGCGACAAGTCATTTCATTGCTAGAACTGAGAAGGCAACTTGTTATTTTAATGTTACCTTTGCAAGTGCAATGCGTGGGTAGGGAAGAGATTGTTTTACCTTCAAGAGAAGCCCACCTTTCATTGGGTCCTTCCTCCTCTTGGATTCTTGCATCACCAAAGTCTCTTACGTTACTTCCATTAACTTTCCACAGGACATGAACAAGGAACTGAGGGCCTTTTCCAAAGCAAGCGTAGCACATTAGGTTTGCTGTTTCCCCTGGATGGGCAGGAAAGATATTCACTAATAAAATCACATTGTGCAAGTTGTACTTAATTGATTTAATGTGAGAAGAGTTTAATGAACACCCAGTGTGTGCTTTGCAAAGATTTCCATTTCCCTTTCTCATCCCTGGCACCTTCATCTCTCTGTGTCCTCATTCTGCCTCCCCTGCCTTCGGTAGTGTCTCTGTTTCACTCACTGTTAAGTTGGAAGCTCACCTCCCACCAGGTGAGGGGAAACACAGGCGGGGACTGGTTCCCCAGCCTCACATTATCATATAGGATTTCCCTTTACTAGAAATTGGAATGCATTTGAACTTCCGTAGCTTTCTCCTCCTGCTGCACTGTGTTCATCTCTCCACTAGTTATCCACGGAGGCACAATTGTGTTTTACCCAACCAAACGTGTTTATCCAACCCATCCCAGGACTTCGGCATCCAGAATTCCATCCCAGCTTCTTGAACCTGAGACTTCCTCCTTCCAGAACTGAAAGCCTAGTGGCAGCTTTCCCACACACACACAGTTAACCGTCCCTTCTCAAGGTCCTGGGTCCCTTCAGAAGCTGGAAGCTGTGTTAAGAATTTGGTATATCAAGAGGAATGATGAGCTCAGAGTCTCTGGAGAGCTCGCAATGATTTAGGCAGAGTGGAACTCAAGGTACTCTGGTGCTCTAATAAAAACTGCTGGCGCTGTGGCGCAGCAGGTTAAAGCCCTGGCCTGAAGTGCCGGCATCCCATATGGGCGCCGGTTCTAGTCCCAGCTGCTCCACTTCTGATCCAGCTCTCTGCTATGGCCTGGGGAAGCAGTAGAAGATGGCCCAAGTCCTTGGGCCCCTAAACCCATGTGGGAGACGTGGAAGAAGCTCCTGGCTCCTAGCTTCAGATTGGCACAGCTCTGGACCTTGCAGCCATCTAGGGAGTGAACCAGTGGATGGAAGACCTCTCTTTCTCTCTCTCTCTCTCTCCCTCTCTGTAACTCTGTATTTCAAATCAATAAAATAAATCTTAAAAAATTTGGCAAATGGCATAGGAGGCCACAGGAGAAATGGCAGGGAGTGTAGCCTGTCAGACTGCACATGCAAATGGTGCCCTGAGTTTGATCACGGGTAGCTTGAATCATGCTCTCTAGTAGGGTATGGAGGGCCAGCTCCAAGGTGGGGATATTTGAGCTTAGTCTTAAGAAAAGAGAAGGAGAAACAACATGGGCAAAAATAGGGAAGAATGTGACTAACATTGCTTATCAGTGAACAAAAAGTGAGGCCGGAAGTCAGTGAGTGGCGCTAACGGCTACAGATGGGCAAGGAGGGAAGGAAAGGCCCCATGATAGGGTCACTTGTTCTAGAAGCTAAGAGCTTTGCATTGTGTCCAACTTCTAGTGAGAACCAGGAAACACAGACACAAAAAAGCCAGTAAGTCTATGTTCTCATCTTTGTTCTGTCATTTATAATCCATGACTTTGGATGTATCGTTGGGCTTTTCTGAGCCTATGTTTTCTTAACATCAAAGCAGAACCACTGGTTAGAAGTGACAATGAAGTGAGATGCTTACAGGAAAGGCCCATGAGTTCCAAAGTGCTATGCAAATAGAAGGGCTGTGTGTTGCCGTGATGGGGCTTCCTAGTTAATACGGAGTGCCTGAGGCAGGTGCTTCTCTCTGGCATCTTGTTCAAGGTTCAGGGTCTGTGCTGTTACTTGGCTGACCCTACACCAGGGGAATTCAGGACAAGTGACATGTGGAAGGACTTTCCAGGTAACACAACATTCTTAAAGATGCCTTACCTATTTTGACTTCTTTTGTTTCATTTGGTGGAGGAGCTAAAATTACTGGGAACATGGAAAAGCCTTGCTTCTCTAGAGTTAAAGACAAAAAGAGAATATAAATATTAAGAGTGTATTGGATGGCCCTCCCTATAAAGTTGTATTTTCATATGTCTATCCTATTTCATAGCAATGTGCCCAAATTACTCTGGCAATAACCCTTGTCATTAAGCACACACATGAGTTAAACAACATTTATATAAACAAAGAATCTTCAAAAAAAGTTTGTGGGAAATACCTTTTATGGAAAACTATAGATGGGTTTAAAAATCTTTTGCACCAAAATAACCTCATTTTTCCATGAACTTAGTGATGAACCCTTACTACCTGTAATGTTCTTTTTGTTTTGGATGTATAACAATTCATTTTTTTTCGTAAATATAACTTGAGGAATATAGTGATTCTTCCAATGTACCCACTCTCCCACCCGCACTCCCACCACTCCTCCTCCTCCCTCTCTTATTCCCATTCTTGTTTTCCACTCAGAACTATTTTATACACATACGATTAACTCCATGCTAAGTAAAGAGTTCCACAAATTGTATGAAAAAAAAAATATTGTTCCTCAACAGTCAAGACAAGAGCTATTCAAAGCCAATGTGATGTCCTTGGACACGTTTTATTCTTTTCTGTTTCACTAAAAAAATGCAAGTCCAAGCCATTAAAGTAACTGCAGAATCTATTAATTGTTAGAAAACCACAATTCCACAGAATAAGCACAAAATGTATGCTCTAGGTACAAAAAAAAGATGTCAACATATTACTGGAAATGACTCATGCATCTGTCAGCAGGCTCCTGCATAGAGCAGTCTCTTACTGTGGCCCACTGAGGCCAAGAGATTTAAAAGTGAGGGATTTTTCAAAGCACTGCTGTATTCCTCTCCCCTTGATGAGTGTGTCTCAGGACAAGAGTGACTAGGGACCACTGCAGCAGTAACTACTGAACAATGAGGGGCACTGACACACTGGCTGCCTATGAGGCTTGTCTTACAGCAAGCAAGCACTGGAGAACTCTGGACAAAAATTGGTCTCCAGGTTACTTTGCCCTAAGACAACTGCCACATTGGAGGTGCTTTCTTATTTACATCTATAGGTCAAGTATATTAAGGAGACCCAACTCTTTGTGGATTTGCTAAACAATGGTTGTCAAGTCTTTCCCTTAAATAGACTTAAATAAAAAAAGTTTTCTTTGTTTTAGAATTAATGACCTACTTGAGGTTATTGACAATGCTGAAAGTGTTGCATACCAGGATTGCAAACCACTCAACATCGATGTCCCACATTGTAGCCCATTACAGTCAGCCCTCGGTCCCCTCAGTTCTGCATCCACAGATTCAGCCAATCACAGTTCAAAAATATTCAGGAAAAACAAGTTGTGTCTTTACTGAACAAGTACAGACACTTCCCTATTGTTCTCAAACAGTACATAGCATTTTTGCATTGTATTAGATATTATAAATAATCTAGAGATGATTTAAAGTATAAAAAGGATGTGCATGGGTCTTAGGCCAATATTATGCCATTTTTTAAACGAGGTATTGAGCATCCACATATTTTGGTATCCGTGCAGGATCCTGGAGCCAAATCCACCACAAATTGCTTTATTTTCATTAAAAAAAATTAGTATTCAGACTGCTATATCTTGAGAAGATTAAGTTGCAAAAGGAAGAATACATGTATCTTTGGACTGGACATGCAATCTGTCCCTTAAATTTCTTAAAATTTGACATTGCATACCGAAATTTCTTTGCATCAGAATAGAGAATGTGGAAGATAAGATGGCATAGGAAGAAGCTTCAAGGAGGGAAATGCAACCAGAGGGCACAACTCTCCCCCACTTTATCTTGATTCATTCGTCTATTCTGGCTGCATGCATACCTTTGACTATCAACGATCTGGTTGCTGTCACAGGGTAATGGACTCCATTTTCACTGTGTACTAATTTACATGTATAATCCCCTGCATCATCACTTGTCACGTTGTCAATGGCCAAATACGCCCTGTGTGTCATGTATCTTGGTCCTTGCAGGGCCTTACAACCCTGAAATGAAAAAAAAAGAAATCCAGTCCCTGTTCAGTAATTCTCCACTGGCATCTCCTTCATTGTGTAATCTTCATCGGTTCCCCTTCAAATTCCCCTTTACCTTAAACCACACAAGAGGTGCTGTCCAATTGTAGAATTCAACTTTAGGACAATGTATTTTGGCATTTTTTTCTGATCCATGTACTGTTGAATATATGAAATCATCTGGAATCCTGCAATCTGGTTGTCTTTCATATATGGTGACATTAGCATATCTAATATTACTGAGGGTGGGACTATTAAGATAAATAAAACCATTAAAAAGAGTAATTCAGCATTTTGAAATAGGTTCATCCAACCTTTTCTTAAATCACTTTTCTCCTAAAATATTTGATACATAGTGTTTCTTTATTATTTAAAAATAACCATTGAGACCTAGAGTTTCAAATAAGGTTTTGTTACTCTTATGCAACTACATAAGCCATTTCTTCACATACTATATCTAATATAGCATCACTGTCTTATATGATAAAGAGAATTGGTATTGAGAATTTGCTGTGTACCAGTTATGCCAGTAAGCACTTTTCATTTTATTCCCACCAGAGTGCTTTGAGGTAAATAATACTATAAGATGAAGGATCTCCAAAAATTTCAAGAAAATTTCTATTGTAAAACAAAAACAAAAACAAAACAAAAAAACATGCATTGATTTTGAAATATTTTGCACCAAAATAAACTAATATCTCAATTCCATTTTCCATGAACTTTTGAAATGCTCTAGTATGTATTTTTCAGAAGAAACTTCAGGACAGAGGAGTAGTTTGCTGGCATTACACAGCTAACTTGTGGCACAGCATGAATTAGGAGCTATATGGACTCAGAACCCAGGCACTTCACTGTAACCACCCTTCCTGTTAATGGAGTTCTTCTATCATTTTGGATGGGCCAAATACGAGCAGAAAATCAAGACATTAATACTTTCTATGCAGAATAAGTAATCTGTAGACATATAATCCCATGTCATCTTCTACAGGTTGACACTAAGTTATAAGGCACTGGTTGGTCACTGCCCTTTTAACCCACCAGAAGCATCTAGGCTACTGGATTTTTTGCTAGCTTGTTTTTACTTCCAATTAAAAGTGAACAATCACAATTATTCTCTGTTCTGTTGGACACTAAGAAAGCTAAACCTTTTTCTAATTAATCTATACATTAATTCCTATATTCTAAATCAAAATATTTAGCTCATAATCACATAAACATTAACCTTATAATGTCCCTAGATGTATTTTTTTTTTCAAATCAATTTAGAAATTTAACCATTCCATAAAGGTCTAGAACAGGAAGGAAAATGAAGGCAGCTCAGACTATAAGCCACTAGAGAAAGAGGAGCAGTTTCGAAGATCATGGTGGCTTCCAGGATACCTTCTGATAATGCAAGCATAAATTCCAGAATCGTTGACTTTCGCTGGTAGGAACTTAAGAAGTTCCCCTGAGGCAAATACACGATTTCCTTTCTGGGTAGAAATTCTTTGGTTTGTTGTTGAGTGATACCATTCCACAGGGTAATGAGATTGCACGTTATTTGGACATTTCACAATTAAAGCCTCATTTTCCAGGCCCCAAGATGGTTCACCTGCAAATAAATAAATAATCAGAAATAGTCATCTGAAGACTGTAATTCCCATATTCTTAATAATTCCTTCAAGGGTTAAATTTACAAATGGGTCATACATTGTGATACTTTGACAAGAAGTAAGTAAAGATTAAGATCTTTTATGAAATTATCTCTGGGTTCTATAGATTAATGCTTTAATTTGGACCTAAATTCCCCATGCTGCTCCAATGGAAAATCAGCCATCTCTTGAATTAACAAATGCCTTCAACACCTTCTACATACAAGCCTCATGTTAAAGTCTGGTGTATCTGAACATATAAAAGTAAAATTTAGATATATTTGCTATGATAGATTTGTGACAAAAATGTCTGAAGGGAAAAACAATTTTTCCAGTTCACAATTCAGTTGGATGAATGAGAAGCAAGTAGCAGGAAACAAGGCAAGCATTCTTGGAATGTCTTAACTTTTTTAAAAGATTTACTTTATTTATCTGAAAGGCAGAGTTATAGAGAGTTAGAAGGAGAGATAGAGAGATCTTCCATCCACTGGTTCACTCCCCAAATGGCCACAACGGCCAGGGCTGGGCCAGGCCAAAGCCGGGAGCCAGGAACTTCTTCCAGGTCTCCCGTGTAGGTGCAGGGGCCCAAGCATTTGAGCCATCCTCTGCTGCTTTGCCAGGCACATTAACAGAGAGCGGGATCCGGAGCAATCCAGACTGGAACAGGCAAACATATGGGATGCTTGCTTTGGAGGAGACGGTTTAACCTGTTAAGGCCTCAACACTGGGCCCATAACTTAATTTTTAAGAATTTAAATTTTAGTTGAAAAACAATACTTACTATCTATAGCTGATGTGAAATATATGGGAACTGTTAGAAATGCCAAGATCCACGGTGTCATTTTTTATCAATTAAGAGCAATGTTGAGATTACTGGAGAGGAATCAGTACACGTGATGTGAAGTCCCCACTAAGCAGCAGATGGCGCTCCGGATGACTTCAAGTTGGGAAGAGTGGTCAATGTCCCTGGGGAAAAGCAATCGTGGAGAACCTTAGCACATATTCATTAAGGTCAAATAGCAGACGCAGCGGGTTCCAGCCAGGCAACTTTGCATTGATTCCTACTGAATCTTGGGGCCATCCACATAACCCTCTTAAGGATCATGCTATTTTGCAGTTGTATTTTACCAGTCTCATGAAAATGCCTGGAAAGAAGCAAAATAAACAGGAAAGAAAAAGAGTTCTTGAAAAAAAAATAAGACCACAAAACTCAGCAGATTCTAACAAATGCAATATTACATAAAACCACAGACCTCTTGTCTGGCTGGAGGCATTGTGCGCACATGCATAGCTCATTTCAGGCACACACGCAAACCCTCAGCACAGAGCCACCAGGAATAAAGGAACATGAGAGCTAGAGAATCAGCCAGGGAATCATTGCAGCCTCCATCCCTAAGCCTCAGACACTCTCCCTGCTTCAGCTGGTTCCCAAGAGCTACCACACTTTAGTAAGACAAGTTGAACTTCTGCAAACAATTAACTACCTCTTGTTCTGTCAGCAAAAGATCCATTTGCTATCTTAAAAAAAAAAAAAAAGTCAGAGGAAGGATAGAACCGATACAGACATAATCTATTCCCAGGGAAAGCAAGCACATTCCACTTAAGCACCAGTTGCTGATACTAATGACAAACTTTAGACAAGTGCTGGACACCTACCCAACCGAAGGGGAGAAGACAAGAGCTCCAAGACGATGGCTGAGTTGAGTCTCCAGCCCTCCTGCTTCCTTCTGTGTGGATTACTCACTGGGACACATCCTCTGCTCTATTTGAAAGGGAAGGCACTCAGTTTGCCACTCCACCCACCCTGAAATCTGATTTTTAGCCAAAATCCGTGACTTGGTCAAAAATCTTAGTGTATCCTGTACTAATAATCCTTGACTTCAGTATACAAATAAACTTCAGAACAACAGTGAATAATCCCTTCAGAGGAAGTGATCATTTCACTTCCCTGTTTGTGCATCCATTTCTCAAGCTACATAATGAGCAGTGCTTATTGTTCATCTGCCTGACACTCTACCAGTGTTGGTTCTAAATGATCTGGCCATCACAGGGCCTTGAGGCTACCCTTCCCGATTGTACTTTGGCATCTCATTTGGTAGAAGGAAGGCTCAGGCAGTTCGAGTGACTTTGGTGCATAGAGTCTCAAAAGCAAACAGAGGGAGTAAGTAATGATGACATATTCTGTCTAAGGTGGGGGCAGAACATGTGCAAAAGCAGATTCAGGTTCCTCAGCCATTAAGTCAAAGTAGGGCTCTCAGCTTGGATGAACAACAACAACAACAACAACAAAATTGTTCTAAGAAGCACAGAGAAATAGAGTGAGCCTGTAACTAAGTGTACTTCAAGACTGATGACAAAGCAAACCATAACTCTCAGCTCTTGGATTCCGTGTAGACTGAGCAAAACTTGAGTTTACTGATGCATCATCGTGTGAGAACACTGGGCCTGAACCCCCAGGTCTGATGAAACGGGGTGCAGGTAGGTGATGGAAAGGCCAGTGGAATGTTTACTGCTCAGAAAGCCCTGCACCTGGGGAGATTGCAAACTGCTAAGACCCTGTGAGAGCCTATCTGCACGCTTATCAAGGTCCATTCGACACTCTGCACCTCTCCCAACAAGCAGCGTAAGAAGAAACTTAGCCTGCTGCTCTAACAGAAAGAAGCCTGGCTTCAAATCCCCTGCCCCCTGTCTGGGCAAGCTCAGCCTCCACTCTCTTTACACTGCCCCCCATGCTGTCCCCCTTTAAGATAAAGTACTCCCTACTTTAGCCACCTCCTCTCCTTCTACCAATCCTAAAATCCTAAAACCTAAAACCTAACACATACTCGTCGTGACTTTATTATGCATAAACTCAACTTACTGTTTTCTTTTTTTTTTAAGATTTATTTATTTGAAAGAGTTACAGAGAGGCAGAAGCAGAGAGAGAGAGAGAGAGAGAGAGAGAGAGAGGTTTTCCATCTGCTGGTTCACTCTCCAAATGGCAGCAATGGCTGGAGCTGGGCCAATCCAAAATCAGGAGCCAGGAGCTTCTTCCAGGTCTCCCACATGGGTGCAGGGTTCCAAGGACTTGGGCCATCTTATACTGGTTTCCCAGGCCATAGCAGAGAGCTGTGTCAGAAGAGGAGCAGCCAGGACTCAAACTGGTGCCCATATGGGATGCCAGTGTTTCAGGCCAGGGCTTTAACCTGCTGTGCCACAGTGCTGCCCCCTCAACATACTTTTAAAAGTCAGTTTGCAGCCAGCGTTGTGGCAAAGCAGGTTAAGCCACAGCCTGAAGCACCAGCATCCCGTATGGGCACCAGTTCATATCCCTGCTGCTCCACTCCCAATCCAACTCCCTGCTAATGCACCTGGGAAAAGCAGTGGATGATGGCCCAGGTGTTTGGGTCCCTACCACCCATAGGAGAAACCTAGACGAAGCTCCTGACTCTTGGCTTTGGCCTGGCCCAGCCTTGGCTATTGTGGCCATTTGGGAAGTGAATCAGCATCTGGGTGGTGTCCCTCTCCTTCTCTCTGTCTCTCCCTCTCTCTCTGTAACTCTGAATTGCAAATAAACAAATAAATCTTAAAAAAAAAAAAGCCACCTCACCTTAGAAGAATTAAGGAATTGACTGCAGACCAGCACAAATAGAATGAGAACAGGTTACTTTTATCTAGCACTTTCTCAACATCAGTTTGTGACTTAAGTGGATTAACTTCTTCATTTTTTTTTTTTTGACAGGCAGAGTGGACAGTGAGAGAGAGAGACAGAGAGGTCTTCCTTTTTGCAGTTGGTTCACCCTCCAATGGCCGCTGCGGCCAGCACGCTGCAGCCGGCGCACCGCGCTGATCCAATGGCAGGAGCCAGGAGCCAGGTGCTTTTCCTGGTCTCCCATGGGGTGCAGGGCCCAAGCACCTGGGCCATCCTCCACTGCACTCCCTGGCCACAGCAGAGAGCTGGCCTGGAAGAGGGGCAACCGGGACAGAATCCGGCACCCTGACCGGGACTAGAACCCGGTGTGCTGGCGCCGCTAGGCGGAGGATTAGCCTAGTGAGCCGCGGCGCCGGCCTAACTTCTTCATTCTTGCAATCACCCAATGAGGCTATTGTTTGTGTTTCCATTCACAGACAAGAACACTGAATCACTCAGAAATTAAGCCACCTGCCAAAATCACAGAGCACTAAGAGATAGAGCCTGAAACCCAAGCAGGCTGGCTCCAAAGACTCGAGAATCTGCTGGCTCATACTACCCCCAGATGTGGAAGACTGAGCAAGGAGGGGCTACCAACAAGGAGTTCTGAATAGATATCTGGAGCTGGTTTCCTGCAGCATCTTTTGCTCCTTTGTGGCTGGCCATAGTCTCCAGCAGGACTGTTGCCAGCCCCAAAGTCTTTGCCTGCCAGGGGACACAGGGAATGGCTCTGAGAGGTAAAGCTGTAACAGGATGACTCGAAACATACAGTTTCCCACAGGATATAAAATACCCAGGCATGGTTATAGGTTAACTCGCTTGCTTGCTTCAAGTCAGGAGCTGTTCCTTTGAAATAAAGAAGTTATAGATATTGGTCTGCTCCTCCGGCTCTAACCAGCATATTTCTGGCTTCTGTACTTCTGCTTGCTTGCATGCTTGATAACGGCCAAGGCCACCAAGTAGTGTTTTCTGTCTTCAAAAACTCCCCACAGCTGCAACCCGGAGATGTCTTCTCCAGACTTGTTCTGGGAGCAGGGGAGCCACCAGCTGGCTAATAAAGATGTGGCAGTTCGATTTAATCGTTAGAGTGGTCCTTTGCTTGGTGCACCCCGCAACCCCGCAACAAAGCTACAAAGTCCTTTGCTACCAGATAGACTATGGGGTGTTTGGCATAAATTCTAGATATTAGGTCTGCTCATTCTGATATGGGATAAGGCAGATAGCTAGATTAGGGTCACCAGCTGGAAGCCACACCTCCCCGGGGCCCCTGGCCAAGTAATCCTATCTGCCCTCCTGTCAATCAAACGACCCCTTCCCCGGGATGTACCTCCCCTTACTGGAGACCATGTAACCACTCCCCTTTCTAAGTTCACAAGAAGCCTGGCAAAAGAGTGGGTCTCTCTCTTTCTCTCTCTCTCTTCACCGTGGATCCAGAGTCAGCAGGATATGCACATCTCTCTCTCTTTCCCCATCCTGGCCCACTCTTCCTGAACAATGCCTTGTGTATGTGTGTGTGTGTGTGTGTTCCTCACTTTTGTACGTTGTGTCTGTGCCTGTACTTAGAATGCTTCTCTAAGTAAGAGGCAAGAGCCTGGAATAGGAATGTGGGCCCAAGCTAGCCCACAACAATGCTATCTTCAAGTCTTATTATTCAGATTGTGATAGAGGCAGGAGACTGTTCATTTGGGAGGTAGGTAGCCAGGGACAAAGGGGACCACATACAAAAAGACTTGTCTGAGGAAGACAAGGAGGCAGGGGGACTGGAAGTTAGCAAGATAAGAGAACTGGAGAGAAGGACCTAAGACTGAAGACTAACAAGTGGGAGGAATTAGAGATAAGACAGGATGAGAATCGCTGTGGGATGGGAGAACGCCTGGACACTACCTGGACACTACATAACTTGCTTTGAAGACTGTGCAAAACTTCTCCTTAGCCCTGAAGGATTTAAGATCCCAGACCTACCTCCTGTCCTTGGCCTTCCTGTTCTGGGGCTCCTCTGGCTGTGCTCTAAGAGCTTTGCCTTTGTTTGAATAAACTTTACTTGCTCTTCATTGTCTGTGTTCTCATTCTGCATGGGCACAAGACACGTGTAGTTTATAACAATTTAAGACAAAATAGTGGGACCGGCGCTGTGCCTCAGAGAGTTAAAGCCCCAGCCTGCAGTGCTGGCATCCCATATGAGTGCCAGTTCTAGTCCCAGCTGCCCCTCTTCTGATCCAGCTCTCTGCTGTGGCCTGGGAAAGCCATAGAAGATGGCCCAACTCCTTGGGCCCCTGCACCCACATGGGAGACCCGGAAGAAGCCTCTGGCTCCTGGCTTTGGATCAGCTCAGCTCTGGCCATTGTGGTCATTTGGGGAGTGTTTCTCCGGAAAACAATATTTTTAAGACTTGTCATAACTATTGCTCATTTTCAAAATTCATCTAATAAAATCGAATCAAATTTGACCATTTTCTAACCCTGATTTTGAATCACAGTTTTGAAATCTCTTATGTAGCAATTCACAATCTGCTTCTCTGAAATTTCCACAAATAAAAACAAGCAATTAAAGCATTTACTGTTACAGCTAGTTGCTTGGCTTTGGAATGGGGCACTCAAATTTTCACTCATTTAAGAGATACCATGTGAGGCTTATTCATTGACTGGGCAAATGTGGCTAAATGTAAGATACAGATGGCAACACACACCACAGAGCTGGCCATCTGTGTCTTGTCTTACTATAAATCCATCTCAGAAGCCGGGAAACCTTTATCACATTACATGCCTTACATGAAGGCAATTGAGTCAGGCTTCACTCCATGATTTTCAGTAATTCACAAGAATTGCCACAAAAATAAACAGAGCAGTTGTTTGTTTTTCATTTGCCTCATTTCATTAGAAGCATTTTAGGTGACTTTTTTTTTTTTTTCAGGCAGAGTTAGACAGTGAGAGAGAAACAGAGAGAAAAGTCTTCCTTTTCCATTGGTTCACCCCCCAAATGGCCGCCACGGCACGTGCGCTGGGCTGATCTGAAGCCAGGAGCCAGGTGCTTCCTCCTGGTCTCCCATCGGGTGCAGGGCCCAAGTACCTGGGCCATCCTCCACTGCACTCCCAGGCCACAGCAGAGAGCTGGCCTGGAAGAGGGGCAACCGGGACAGAATCCGGCGCCCCGACCGGGACTAGAACCTGGTGTGCCGGCGCCGCAGGCGGAGGATTAGCCTAGTGAGCTGCGGCACCGGCCTCCTTTTTTTTTTTAATGACAAAAATGCAT